TGAAATTTTGATACCGTATCTAATCAAGATACAAAAATTTACATTATTTTTTCTGATTCATTTATCAGAACTATGTATTAAGGTATTATGAAAAGCAAATATATTTAGGGATTACGAGAATTATTATCAAATATGAAGGTTTTCAAATTTGTTTAGGTAGAGAGAGCTTGGGCAGTAGAGGTGAGCGTTTAACGCGCGTTGGATATATACCCCTTAAACCTACACCTGGGTCACAAGTCCCAGTCACTGTTGAAGCTCCTCTCACTACAACGATGGACCCGGCACCCGCACGGTGAATACATGGAATGATGAGAAGTTTCGTCTCATTTAGTTACATGAAAGATATATTGAAAATAATATACTAACCACAAGTTCGTATCGTCACTACACACGTAGTGTTAACAGTATTCTATTATTATCTTCATACATTATAGTATTAACGTAGTATTGAATGAAACGAGAGACGATACGTGTGTAGTGACGATGCTCACTTAAACTAAGGGTACAGGATTTTTAAGTATTGTGTTTTAAAGACTGGAATGATTTTATAATGCTATAATCTTTATATATATTTGTTGTTTGTCCCGCCATATTAACTAGTCTAAATCATTATTATATTTGAGAAATGTAGACTAAGTCGTGCGAAAATGTTATTAACCAAGAACTAGTTTATGTCATACAAAATTTTCGCACGAACCAGGACTTTAACAATTAAAGATTAAACCCTCGTAATGGAAAGCTGATATAAAATTATTGACGAAAGGACGAATTCTGCGAGGTTTTATGTGGTATATACAACCTTTTTGAACTGAAAGCAGAAAGTAGTATACCATTTTTAAACGAGAACACATTTTCGCGGCTTCAAAATGACGTATCCTTTTGTGATTTTTGCTTTGACTTACGCCTTTTTCGAAACGAGATAGTTTTCGTAAAAGTAGTATACTATTTTAAGTTAACAGTTTTTAAAACGACGTAAGTAACGTTCGTATTTAGAGCTATAGTGGTATAGTGCAACTTTGCTTGCTATTTATTTTATATCTAGTTTAATGAAGTACGATTACATTAATTATGTGTAGGTATATTAGTTTAAGACTTTTTAAAGATGAATCAATGGGGAAAAAGGGCAAATTGGAAAAAATTGAGGCAAAGGCTGTCTATAAATATAATTATGTGTATATGTATAAATATTATATATTTTTCTGAACAATGAACAAACTAACATTTGTATTGTACGGATTCAAATTTACAATTCAATTCGCGTATATAAATATGGGTGAATGGTTATCTGAGTAGAATTATTTTAAATAATTGATTTTTTTCGTCTTAAACTCGTAGATTCGATTTTGAAGTAAAACAGATAAAACTATAGCTATATTAGTACTTTATTTACTTTTCCATAATTGAAATATGACATAAAACCATATGGATTTTGTCATCAAAAATCATAAGATACTTTACGTACATATATTTTAGAAATAAAATGTTCGTCTTAAATTTGTACGCGGTAGAAGTGGGAGCGAGAGGTATGGAGGTAATAAGTAGATAAATCTCTCTACAACCTACTATAAAACTTGGGCCTGTCCAGAACTAATATAAATTAATTCTTAGAATGTACTTCAAAGGCAGCCCTAGTAGGTTCGTTTAAAATTTGGTAGAGAGACGAGCTTAGACAGTGGAGGTGAGCGTTTAACGCGCGTTGGATAGGGTCCTCTTAAACCTACACCTGGGTCACAAGTCCCAGTCACTGTTGAAGCTCCTCACACTACAACGATGGACCCGACACACGCACCGTGAATACATTGAATGATGAGAGGTTTCGTTTCAAACAAAATTTAATTTAAAAAGTTGATTTTATCTCCCGATGCTTAATAGATAATAAATTTTACAAGGTCAGCTTATTACTGTAAGGAAGATGGCGGATATATGGAAATGTCATATTTTAGTCATACAAAACACATGGGTTATTATTATTTTGGAAACAAAAATGCCTTTTGATAATATATTTATTTTATTACACAGATAATAGCTTTTTTGACGAAAAAACACATTACAATGCTTTTTCTAAATAGTAACATTTATATTTCCCTCACTAGAACAGTGCCGATAGCTTTTAAACCCTAATTAAATTACAGTAGAATGAAACTCATTAGAAAATCGGAGTATTTAAGGGTAAAAAATGGGTTTTCTCGATTTCCGGCAAAACTAAAAGTACTACGTAAAAATGTTATATGGCAAAGTTGTAGGTAATAAAAAGATCTAAAACTTTTGTCTTTACACTTTTTTCACATCACCTGAAAATTTATGTGATAAATTCGAAAAACCAAGTTTTTGGTTTTTTATTTTTATCTCTTATAAAAAACAATTTTTTTACACAAAATTTGGTGAAAACTTTTGTTTTGATGTTACAAATACACTGTAATTTATTTGAACTATTTATTTTTTGGATGCGGGTGGCACAAGACCGGTCGTCGTGGAGATCCTTGGGGGAGGCCTATGTCCTGCAGTGGACGTCTTTTGGCTGATGATGATGATGATGATGATTTATTTTTTGAGCTTATTTTGAATAAATACCGAAAAACCAGCCTCATTTTCAATCGAAAAATCACACGTCAAAATATCAGCTATTTTCAAAAATTTGGTATGTTTTCAATTTGTTGAAATCTCTATTTTCCGATGGTGAAGAAAAAAATATAAATTTCTTACTTGCAATACCATTTTTGGATAAAATAATCATGTCCCTTTTAATGAAATGACACTCGACATCTTTTGGAAAATGTTCTTTCAATTTATTTTTAATAGTTTTAGCAGCTTAATGTCAATTTTCTGTAAATTAACTTAAAGAGGGCCCCTCTGGAGAACTTCCAGAGTACACAACTATTGCTGCACCCATATTGATATGATTTTCATTGATAGATATCAAGTAACGAGAAGTAATCTAGACAACTTGTATTTCAGAATCTATTTCCCAGTAGAAAACATGGGATTTTACGAGTATAACGATAGAAAAAATTCCCTTACCACAAGTTGGCGTCACACTACATATCTATGGAGTCATTTTGTTTGTTTTTAATAAATAAATATTGCCTGATTGAAAAAAAATATATTTTCCCACTAAATTTGTCTGTGCCCTTTTAGAATTAAGTTTAAGTTACATATAGTTTTGATTATTTTGCACCCTTTTTTAAATTATCAGTTTCGAAATGTATACAGGGTGACTGGTGAATTACTATCGATATTTGAGGACGTGATATTTGACGATCATATATGACAAAATAAAAATTAATATAACATAAATATTAATAAACTTCTAAGTAAAGTTAACCAAAAGTTATGTAATTAATTACGCATCGTGTGAACACCCTACAGATTAGGTATACACTGACACTCACACATACGCATGTCGTGACGTGGTGTTGTATCAACACGTCGCCGCACGCGTCCACACTTGAACACTTGGAACGTGTCAACACTTTACTTATTTATACGGAAATTTTGTCAAAAATTAAGTGCCTATTTTTTTTACATAATTCGAATGAGAATCATGTACCGAGTATGCTCCTTAAATATTGATAGTAATTCACCAGTCATCCTGTATATAGCTTAAATATAAGCTGTGTTTTATAAGCTGCAAGTCTGAAGTCATCTTTTAAATACGCGACATGGTTTTCAGTGCTATTTTTGTCTCCGACTAGATCGATTTCTTAGTCTTAGTGTTATTACAGATTTTGATTTTAATGCTGCGTTCTTAAAGAAAATGTCAAGGTACCAGGAGAAATCAATATAAGCTTACAAACAAGGAATTAATTGAAAATTTAGTTCATCAGCAAAACAGCTTTAATATTATTCAGAACTACATATATGTATTATAATATTATTTATATACCTATATCGGATTTATTACACATTCCTTGTTTTTAAAGAGACGCCAGCCTCGCTGACGTCACTTATGTCACTTCTTCTAGAGCGTTCCATGATAATTTAAAATGAAACTTCAATTGTTCTTTATGCTCCTGTATTTCTCGATTCTCGAAGGTTCTTCATAATAACATACTTCAATGATACGCACTTACTGAACTCTGAATTCTGCCGTCGTGCCTCCAGACGTCATATTTATACCAAGATTTAAACATAGTTCTATTGTCCTTTTAAACAATCTTTGATTTCGTTTTACTTTTAACAATAATCATGAATACTAAAGAGTTTTAATAAGAATTGATTGAAATTATTTTCATGTCGCATACGTTATTCAAGCTGATAGCGCCGATATATACAATATTTATAATGTCGCTGATGTCTTTGATGATATTCATGCTGCTAGACTTCGTAAACGAAGTTTTTGATTTATATTTCTCCAAGCAAATTATTTTGTCAAGAGCCATTCCTGATATGTTAAAGTTAAGAAAAATTGTTTTAAAATAAATGAAACTCAAATTTTTCGGATATACTAGGCCTGCTTTATTTTTATAAAAACTACATACTCCCGACGTTATGGCTACTTTTTAGCAACCGTGATCACGGGCAGACGAGTTGTGAATGTATGTATGTAGTTTTTTTACAAAAATAGAAGTCGTGAAAGTCTTAGATCTTATTATGTTTTAAGATAATTTAAAATCATTATAAAATTAAATTCTAAACTTTAAAGAATTTATTTATAAATCATCCACATCCATAACTCGGATCTCGATTACATAATGGCTTTAACAATAATTAATTGTTTACGTTTGATATGTGAACAAGGGAATCAGTATTGTTTTTTGTCGATATTTTTAGAGATATGTCACTTTTGACCTATTAAAGGTGGGCCAGCAGTTTAAGTAAAAACGATTCTGGCAGCACCGTGTTATTTGTCAAAGTCATTGTTTAAGGTTATTTACCTTACCTATTTGTAATATTATGTTTAAATGTTATAGTTTGTAAACACACCACTCACCAAATGAGTACAAAGCTAAGCCTTTTATAATATAATTCATTGATATAGTATAAGTATTAAACTATTTAATATGTCAGATGTGGAAGTTGAAGTGCCTAGTACATTTAAAAAACGTAACTTAAAATGTAAAGGTGGAAGGAAACGAAAAACTTCATCAAGTTCAGAAGGTAACCTATATTGTTGGAGTTTCTTAATAATTTCGATTATATTTCAGTAGTCGTATTATATGAGAATGGTATTTTGATAAAAATGTATATTGACATGAGCAATTTTAAGATTAATCACTCTATTTATTTGGAATGTAAATTAAATTTAGTTTTCTATGAATAAGAAATGATTTTAAGACAAGTGTATGTGCTAATTATGATAAGTTATAACTTAAAAGTTGTAATTTCGGGTAGTAATACTTTGGTATATTAATAAAAATAAAAATATTACCTTATGAGATTCATTCAAGTAATGACAAGTTAAAAAAAGATAACTTTATATTTATATCTATTTATCTCCTACCTGACAATTTCCCAGCTATAGCCAGGGTCTGTCTTACATGTTGTGAATAGTTTTGGCTAATTGTTTTTATGACCGGCCCCCTGCCTGACATCAACTCTCTTTAGGAATGCATTAATCAGTGATGTCTAAATACTCCTAGAAAGTACATATGACTCAGAAAAATCACATTGGTACTTGCCCGGCCCAGGATTGAACCTGTGCCCTCGTGTATGAGAGGCGGGCCTTTTAACCACTAGGCCACTACTGAAAAAATATATAAAAACTTAAATCCATTGTTAAATTATATAAATAAGTATTAGATATATTTTGTATTTTGCCGTAAACTCTTTTCTTATATTACTATTTGATGATTATAGAGAAGAACAGTTCAGAATCAGACGAACCAACAGTTGTGTTGCCGTCAAAACGGGCTCAGAAAGCGAACCCGAACATACAAAGTACCGGCGGCCAGAAGAAACAAAGAGTTGAAATAGAGGACGAGCCTAGCAGTGATGATGAAAAGGTATTGATATTATAATCACATGTGTATTACTCGCTGCAAGTATTAAGAGTTACAGGACATTTAACATAAGGAAAAACACTTTTTTCTTTCAATATAGTATATTATGTACATAATGATACATATTTTTCTCAGTATAAATCCTGGTTATAAAAATAATATGAAAATTGTTATATTTAAATGATCTCTATCTTATTATTATTATTGAGTTCTAAATTAATATACTAAGTCTTTTTCTGGTCTTATTTCTACATGTGTAAAGGTTTGACAATAATTTTATTTTTCTATTTAAGTTAATGTTTCATAAATTTATTATATACAGTACTCTTCCATTATATGACTAAATATTAGTCTAAATAGTCTATATTTTAGGTAAAGTGATGTCAAAAATTTCTCTAACAAAAGTATTATACAACAATATGTACATATTATAAAGTGTTTTATAACAGCATCAGTAAATTTGTAAAGTAAAAAGCAAATTCTGATATCAATATATACAAAACCTTATCAAAATCATTCCAGCAACAACCAAACACAACACTGTCTGTACAACAACAACGGGAAAATGCTACGGCCACATATGAACTTGATACGGAGAAAGACAAAGATGCTCAAGCGATATTTGAGAAGGCACAGAAAATAAATGAGGAACTCCAAGGACAAGCTGATGATAAAGTATGTGTTTGTTTATTCTACTAAATTCTACTGTTTTCTACCAAATTTGACTATATTCTACCAATTTCGTTAAATATTTTTTTGTTTGACAGTGACCAAAAAGTGAAAGTATTATCTATATGATACTTATTATGGTTCTAATAAATAATTTGTAAAAATATAGTTTTAACTTACATTTGTGCTAATATTACAAATTCAATGGTTTATTAGAATGTTTGTTGTTCTTAAAAGAGAAATGTACTAAACGGATTTTGATGAAAGTTTTCATATACATATGTATCTCAGTCAGTTATATTATATTCAGAATATTTGTAAAGTTCCATACTCAGAAAACTTTATGAAAGTTGTGTTTTTTGTGGAGTTACCAACAGTATAATATGTTGAAAACATTTGGATAAAATATATTATATTAATCCACATCCCAAGCCAATTTAGACGAAGTCTCTAGCATAAACTAGTATCCTCGTAGTCATCACCCTATTGTAGAACACTGATGAACAAAGGCCTCTTCTCACATGGAGAAGATTTGAGCATTAATCACTACGCTTGCTCAAGACAGATTGGTGGTTTCAACTTAAAATTGTAAAATTTTAAGTTCAAGTTTCCTCACGATGTTTTCCTTCATCTGTCAGTGATGTCTAAATACTCTTAGAAAGTACATATGGAAAAATCACAGTGGTACTTGCCAGCCCTTGTTTACGAGAGGCGTGCCTTTAACCACTAGGCCACCACTGACTACTGTCCTATATATGTGAAATTATTATAAATTGTATCTGCAGCTATGAATAATTCTATTTTCAGGTGTATCGTGGTATAAATAACTATGCCCAGTATTATAAGAAACGTGACACAGCGGCTGGGAACGCTAGCTCTGGTTTGGTGAGGAAAGGTCCTATCAGGGCGCCCGCTAACTTGAGAGCCACGGTCAGGTAAGAAATGTTACCGAGACGACAGTTATATGAGTCATATTTGGATTAGGATTTCTTTATATAAGGATGAAGACGAGGAATTTTATTTGAACATATTTTAGGAAACATTTAAATGAATCTATGGTCTTATTTACTTTGTGTTATATTATTCTACATTTTTGAGTTGTTGATAATTTTTTTACTTTACTAAATTTCGACTTAAATCTAAGAAAAGTAATTTTTTTAGCAGCTTTATTAATTTTAAAATTTTAATTTAATTAAATCTTCTATATATATAAAAATGGATTGCTGTTCCTTAGTCTCGCTAAAACTTGAGAACGGCTGAACGGATTTATCATATCTTACTCTTGAAATGTTCGTGGAGGTTCAGGAAAGGTATAAAAGCTGAAAAAAAATATTAATTTCCGGGAAAACCCTAAAAACAGCGCTTTTCTATTTCCCATACAAACGGGGTTTTTGACATTAGATTTGAAAACTAACTAATATGTCAATCATTCTGTCGCACTTTAGAACACGGAGATTTATGGCTAAGCTTTAAAGGTAAACTCCAAAAATATAATTAAGAAATAATTTATTTCTTGATTGAGGCAGTACGAAGTCTGCCGGGTCAGCTAGTAATAAATATAACAATTTTGTTTGTTTGTCTTTTATCGCAAACTAAAAACAAGGATAATAAATAGTATGTATAGTCTTTTTATTTTAAGCAATTCATAACATGCAAATTGAAGTGGAGATAATATTAAATCATATGTCTGTGAGGAGGGTTGTAGGAATAAATATATACATATATATAGAAAGAGAGAGCGTGGTACTTAGGGATTGAGAGAGATAATTGATATAAGTGATGTATCTTCACTTAATCAAAATAAGTTTTAAATGTCCTCTAGCGCCATCTAGTTGACTCATAAGTACAACTTATATGTATGTAATCTAAATTTGTCATAATTGTGCTAATTGTCAAGTTAGTTCATAGAAAATATCATGTTTCTTAATAAAAACAATTACTATTGGTTAATCTTAGTAATCAGAAATTAAATTTCTTACAGATGGGACTATCAGCCAGATATCTGTAAAGATTACAAGGAGACTGGCTTCTGTGGTTTTGGAGGTATGATGATGTAGCCTGTAGATGAATATTGACTGTTATATACTTTGTGTCGAGTCTAGAACATGGATCATCTAGTACTAAAAACCGCTTAAAAAGCATTTTAGAGACAAAAATCTCTTGCAAATTGCAATTATACTATTTCTAAATATTTTCTTGTCTAAAAGTTTTATATCCAATTGATCTAGCCAAAATAAGTGTGTATTATTTCTACAAGTACAATTTTAAACCTCGAGAGAAATTTATTTCTAAACCAAATTTATAAAGACAACGGGAATGTTCAACTTGAAGTAGGAATTGGATCCAAATGTTGGGTAACCCTGATCTAGACTATGATTGAACCACAATGTTCCAGACTCCTGCAAGTTCCTCCACGACAGATCAGACTACAAGCACGGCTGGCAGTTGGAGAGAGAGGAAACGGAACATAAGGCCGGTGATTCAGATTATGAGATACACAGCGATGAAGAATTACCATTCAAATGTTTTATATGTAGGGAGAGTTTTAAGGACCCCGTAGTTACTAGGTCAGTTGGATCATTATATAAAATACTAGCTGCGCCCCGCGGATTTCCGGGATGTAAAGTAGCCTATATGTTATTCCTGGACGTCAGCTTCCCGTATACAAAATTTTATTAAAATCGGTTAAGCCGTTTAAGCGTAAAGAAGTAACAAACATACACACACACTCACAAACTTTCGCAATTATAATATTAGTAGGATTTGGTTACCGAGCTATGCTCAGTATTTAGGAATTATTAGTATTTATTCTGTGTTTTTTTTTTTAAATTTCGTTTAGGCATTTTTAAGTGAACACGTTACCACACAAAACTATCATCATCATCATCATCATCAGCCAAAAGATGTCCACTGCAGGACATAGGCCTCCCCCAAGGAAAATGGGGGGTTTTTGCCATAAACGCCACGCTTGGCAGGCGGGTTGGCGATCGCAGTTGGATTTAAAATGTACAATTTTTCACAATTAGTAATATATTAAACGCTAAATAATTACGATAATTAAATAAATTGAATAATACCCGACGATGTAGTGGTTTTTACCTGGAAATGACAACAGTATTAAACAAACAATCTAACTATGCTTTGTATAAACAAAATAGATCATAAGGTGACTTACGTTTCAATTTGGTTAGGAAACTGAGTTTCTTTGCAGTTTTGACAGGTTGATATGGTGAATGCAATAGTCAAATACATAAAAGTTTAGAACTATGGAACTACTTGTTTTATGCACTCATGAATCTATACCCAATTACATATTTCCTTAAAAATAATAGTTCCAAAATTAACCTATTAATACAAAATGTATTCATTTCAGATGTAAGCATTATTTTTGTGAGAAATGCGCGTTATCCCAGTACAAGAAGTCAACTCGATGTTTCATATGTAACGCTCAAACCAGTGGAGTGTTCAACCCCGCCAAGGAGTTGGAGGCGAAGATGAAGGAACGGAATAGTGATGATGATGACGATGAACATTAACAATAAATGATTATAACACATAAGACTTTTATTAGTTTTCGATTATATTTCAGTAGTCATATTAAATGAGTAGAGTATTTTGATAATAAAAAGTATATTGACATATAAGCAATTTTAAGAAATATCACTTTATTTATTTGGAATGGAAAATAAATTTAGTTTTCCTTAAAATAAAAAATGATTTGAAGACAACTGTATATGTTAATTATGATCAGTTATAACTTAAAAGTTTTAAATCTAGATAGTAATACTTTGGTATATTAATACACATAAAAACATTACCTTGTTATTTATCATGAGATTCATTCAAGTAATGACAAGTTAAAGAAGATTATTTTATATTTATATCTATTTAAATACAAACCATTGCTAAATGTAATAATTAAATTGTATAAATAAGTCTTCTTCTTGTACCTGGCAATTTCTCAGCTATAGCCAGGGTCTGCCTTACATGTTGTGAATAGTTTTGGCTAATTGTTTTTACGACCGGCTGCCTGCCTGACATCAACCCTCTTTGGGAATGGATTATATAAGTGTTAGATATATTTTGCATGTTGCCATAAACACTTTTTTTATATTGTTATACTTGATGATTATAGAGAAGAACAGTTTAGAATCAGATGAACCAACAGTTGTGTTGCCGACAAAACGGGCTCAGAAAGTGAACCCAAACATACAAAGTACCGGCGGCCAAAAGAAATAAAGAGTGGAAATAGAGGACGAGCCTAGCAGTGATGATGAAAAGGTATTGATATTATAATCACATGTGTATTACTCGCTGCAAGTATTAAGAGCTACACTGGTCATTTAATACAAGCTAAAACACTTTTTTTTACTTGAACATAGTATATTATGTACCTAATGGTACATATTTTTCTCAATATAATTTCTGGTAATAAAAATTAATTATGAAGTTTTGTTATATTTGAACAAACTCTGTCTTATAATTATTGAGGTCTAAATAAATATACTAAGTTTTTTCTGGTCTTATTTCTACATGTGTAAAGGTTTGATAATAATTTTATTTTTATATTTAAGTTAATGTTTCTTAAATCCATTATATACACAATATGCTTGCAATATGTGACTTATAGTTAGTCAATTTACCTAATATATTACTCAAAATAGTTTATATATTTGGAAAAGTGATGTTAAAAATTTCCCTACCACAAGTATTATACAAAAATAACTATAAGAAAATGTGTTATGCCCGAATTACCATTCTAGTAAAGCATAAAGCAGTTTATTTCAAATATAAGAATGTAATAAGATTAACCATAATATAGCAATGCATACTAAACTTTAATCAAAATCGTTCCAGCAACAACCAAACATAACACTGTCTGTACAACAACAACGGGAAAATGCTACAGCTACATACGAACTTGATACGGAAAAAGACAAAGATGCTCAAGCGATATTTGAGAAGGCACAGAAAATAAATGAGGAACTCCAAGGACAGGCTGATGATAAAGTATGTGCTTATTTATTTACTATTTTCTACTTAATTCTACTGTTTTTTACTAATTTTGTAAAATATTTTATTATTTGAGATATAATACAATACTAGAGCATACTAAGTACCTATATCTATAATATTTGACTAATTTAATTTCCAACATGTTTTTATTCCAAGCATTAGATTTGTCCAATTTAGTCTCATATTAAAATAAAAATTATATATGTAATTAGTTAATGTTTATTTCAGACTAGAAGACCTGGGGAACTTCGTATCGCCCTATAATCAAGAAATATCTATTACGTTTTTTATTTATATTTTTGGAGTTTACCTATTAAAGCCATAAATCTCCGTGTTTTGAAGTGCGACTGAAAGATTGACATATTACATAGTTAGTTGTCAAATCTAATGTCAAAGAAAACATTTGTATGGGAAATAGAAAAGGGCTGTTATAGGGTTTTCCCGCAAATGAATCAATTTTTCTCACCTTTTAAACCTTCCCTGAACCTCCACGAACATTTCAAGACTAAGATAAAATAAATCCGTTCAGCTGTTCTCGAGTTTTAGCGAGACTAAGGAACAGCAATCCATTTTTATATATATAGAAGAAGATTATATTATGAGTGATATTGTTTAATATTATTTATGGCACTATATTAGTTAGAAATATATTGTTTACTAGTTTTTGCCCGCGACTTCGTCCGCGTTAGTTTCGTCATTAGTAATATAGGTATAGCTGACCGGGCGAACTCTATTCTGTCTTCAATAACGCCGTATTGGTATTTATTAAATTTCTACTGTTTCAATCGAACAGAATGATTGACATATTAGTTAGTTGTCAAGTCTAATGTCAAAAAATCGTTTGTATGGGAAATAGAAAAGGGCTGTTTTTAGGGTTTTCCCGGCAATTTTTTAAATTTTTCTCACCTTTTAAACCTTTCCTGGACTTCTAGGAGTATTTCAAGACTAAAATGAGCCAAATCGGTTCAGCCGTTCTCGAGTTTTAGCGAGACTAAGGAACAGCAATCCATTTTTATATATATAGAAGATGAAATTTTAATTACAACTTCATATAATGAAGTAACGAAAATTCTTACTCATAAGAGGTGACATGTCAAAATTTTCTATCCCTACTAATATTATAAATGCGAAAGTAACTCTTTCTGTCTGTCTGTTACGCTTTTACGCCTAAACCACTGAACTGATTTTAATGAAATTTGGTACAGAGATAGAGTTGACCTTGAGAAAGAATATAGGATAGTTTTTATCCCAGACTTTTGAAAGGTTCTCTTGGAAATGCGATATAACCAAATTACACGAGGGGCGAAGCTGCGGATGGAAAGCTATGTAGTTAATTTATATTTTATATTCAAACTAAGTCAGAATTGTAGGGTCATAAATTTATTCCATAATATACTTTTAACTAACATTCTGCTAATATTATAAATGGATTGTTAATGGGGATGTTTGTTGATCTTGAAAGAGAAATATACTAAACGGATTTTGATGAAACTTTTCATATATGTATATCAGAATATTTGTCAAGTTCCATACGCAGAAAACTACATGAAAGTTGTGTTTTCTATAGAATTACCAATACTATATGTTGAAAAAATTTGCTTATATAAAAAAATATAATAAAAATAATATATATTATATTATATTTAGCTACAACCAAAGTCCATTTGGACAAAGTCGCTAGCATAAACTAGTATCCTCGTCATCATCAGCCTATCAGAACCCTCTGCTGAACAAAGGCCTCTTCTCACATGGAGAAGGTTAGAGTATTAATCACCACACTTGCTCAAGACGGGTTGGTGATTTCAACTTATAATTGTGAAATTATAAGTCCAGTTTTCCTCACGATGTTTTCCTTCATCTGTCAGTGTTGTCTAATAACCCTTAGAAAGTACATATGACTAGGAACAATCACATTGGTCCTTGTCAGGATCAAACCCGCGCCCTCATGCATGAGAGGCGTGCCTTTTACTAGGCCACCACTGACTAGAGTCCTATACACATATGTGAAATTATTAAAAATTCTATCTGCAGTTGTAAATAATTCTATTTCCAGGTGTATCGTGGTATAAATAACTATGCCCAGTATCATAAGAAACGTGACACAGCGGCTGGGAACGCTAGCTCTGGTTTGGTGAGGAAAGGTCCTATCAGGGCGCCCGCTAACTTGAGAGCCACGGTCAGGTAAGAAATGTTACTGAGACGAGTGTCACAGTTATATGGTTTATTTCAACATATATTAATTGGACTAGGATTTCTTGGTTTAAAGACTAAGACAAAGAATGTTATTTGAACATATTTTAGGAGTATATTAAAATGATGCCCTTATGCCCTTAGATTTACTTCATGTGTTATATTATTGTAAATTTTTTCATTGTCTTTTACTTTTGAGTGACCATAATCAAAAGAAGAGGTGATTTTGACTTAAATCTAAGAAAAATATTTGTACTTGTGACTTTATTAATTTTAATTTAATTAAATACCAAATATAACTATTTTGTTTGTTTGTATTTTAACGCAAACTAAAAACAAGTATATGTAAATAATATGCAATCTTATTGTTTGAAGCAATGCATTGCAGGCAAATTTAGGTGAAGATAATCCCTACTAATATTATTAATGCGAAAGTAACTCTGTCTGACTGTCTGTCTGTTACGCTTTCACGTCTAAACCACTGAACTGATTTTAATGAAATTTAGTACAGAGATGGAGTTGACCTTGAGAAAGAACATAGGATAGTTTTTATCAAAGACATTTGAAAGGTTCTCTTGGAAACGCGATATAACCGAAATCCACACGGGTGAAGCTGCGGGCGGAAAGCTAGTATTAATATATATCAATGTGGGGGGTGTAGCAATAGATATATACATTTATATAGAAAGAGAGAGTGTGATGAAGGAGTGAGAGAGAATGCAAGAAATATGGCACTTATATATACATATATAAGGCTTTATGCCATGTAAAGCATTATAAATTTAAGAATATGTTGGGTGTTGTACTATGTTAGTAACGTTTTGGTTATTTTGATAAGTTTGAGTGTTAGTATGTACCACTTATATCAAAATAAGTTTGAAATATCTTCTAGCGCCATCTCTAGTTGAATCATAAGTACAAATTATATGAATGTAATCTATATTTGTCATTATTATGTCAATTGTCAAGTTAGTTCATAGAAAATATGCAATGTGTCGGAATAAAAACAATTATTATATTTTAATCTTAGTAATCGGATATTAAATTTGTTACAGGTGGGACTATCAGCCAGATATATGCAAGGATTACAAGGAGACTGGCTTCTGTGGTTTTGGAGGTATGATGATGTAGCCTGTAGATGAATATTGACCGTTATATGCTTTGTGTCGAGTCTAGAACGTGGATCATTTAATACTAAAAACCACTTTAAAAGCGTTATAGAGACAAAAATCCCTTGCAATTATACTATTTCTATATGTTTTCCTGTCCAAAAGTTCTATTTCCAATTGATCTAGCCAAAATAGGTGTGTAATATTTCTACAATTATAATTTTAAGCCTCGAGAAAAACTGATTTCTAAATAAAATTTATAATAAGACAATAGGAATGTTCAACATTAAGTGTTAATTGGATCGAAATGTTGTCAAACCCTGATCTAGACTATGATTGAACCACAATGTTCCAGACTCCTGCAAGTTCCTCCACGACCGACCAGACTACAAGCACGGCTGGCAGTTGGAGAGAGAGGAAACGGAACATAAGGCCGGTGATTCAGATTATGAGATACACAGCAATGAAGAATTACCATTCAAATGTTTTATATGTAGGGAGAGCTAAATTTCGTTTAGGCATTTTTAAGTTAACACGTTAAGACACAAAACAATATAAATCAAAAATTAATTTTTTTGTCTAAACTCAAACACTCATTGACTTCCTGTTACTTAACAACGTCATCTGCTGTTGTGTCGTTAAAGCAATTAGCAAACAGTAGTGTTACTATTCGCCACTATATGTCAGGATGAGTCACATTTCAAACGCCTCCTTTTTGTTATTTTTATAAAAGGACATTTTCTAGAAATGATTCCTAGCTAGATCGATTTATCGCCCTCGAAACCTATATACTAGCATGATTAATGTTATAAAGAGGAAGGGAAAATGAATTTATTAGTTTAGAACTACTCTTGTGTTTTGGTATAAACTATAGTTGAAATCATTAACCTAGGTTATGCAAGATGGCCAGTGTCATTTAGTATGGGCAATAAACTGAGTAGAATCACTAGTATGGCCTATTTAGGGTATTTAATCCTTGAATAGGGAACTTTAAACTTAAGTGCCCAAATACTAAAGATTTAAGTGCAGTGAATAATCCACAAGTGTACTACAATAATTTATTCTCCATACTTGTAGCATAGATGAGATTGATTTAACAAAGTTGTGATCACCGATTAATCTTTTTGTTTTTCTCTATGAAGTCGAAAATAGATAGGTGACATATCGTCGGGGATAGTGCAATTCCGTGTATCTACATTGGAAGCTGATTATCAGAAGAAAGTTTAAGCTGAAATATTTTCTATATTAACGACAATATTTGAGGCAATTTTTTGACAGTTAGAAATATATTAATCACTAAATAATTCCAATAAATAAATAGAATAATCCCCGACGATGCTTTATATAGACAAAGGAACTCGCTAGGTGACTTACGTTTCAATTTTGTTAGAAAACTGAGTTTCTTTGCAGTTTTGATGGGTTGATATGATCAATGCATTAGTCCTATAGATAAAATTTAGAATTATGGACCTATTTGCTTTATAGACTCATGAATCTATACCCAATAACATATTTCCTTAAAAATAATAGTTGCAAAATTAACCTATTAATACAAAATGTACTTATTTCAGATGTAAGCATTATTTTTGTGAGAAATGCGCGTTATCCCAGTACAAGAAGTCAACCCGATGTTTCATATGTAACGCTCAAACCAGTGGAGTGTTCAACCCCGCCAAGGAGTTGGAGGCGAAGATGAAGGAACGGAATAGTGATGATGATGATGATGATGATGAGTAACAATAAATGATTATAACACATAAGACTTTTATTAGTTTTAGATTATATTTGAGTAGTCATTAAATGAGAAGGGTATTTTGATTATTTGGAATGTAAAATAAAGGGCTCTGTCCATTTTTGACCTAGCGTGAACAAGCTGCTATCAAGAAAACAAGTTTATGAAAAAATATATATTTATTATTTAGCTAGCCATTCTATTTTTGTTTGAGTGTACATTTGTGTTTTATTGAAAAAATATTTTTAAAGTATCTTCATTGATTTACGTTGTTCATCCACGTTTTGTGCTATCAGCAAGATCAATTAACGATTGCGTAAAATCGAATCATCTCGCAGTACTTAATACTATGTACTATAAGTATTTGATACACTAAAAATTTAAAAATATTTGTTTTATTTAGTTTCGTCATTTAAAACCTTTTATAAACTGAAATATGAAGAATGTTAAACGTAATCATATCTGTTTTGGATCGATTTTTTAATGATTTTTTCTATTGCAACACTAATAAAAAAACAAATACAAATTGACATTGGTATATCACAAACTGATTTTTACATTCGCTTTGTTTGCCTACATTGAGAGTGTCGATTAATTGTGGATTTTCTATCAACGATTGTTTATTCATTATGGACTCCGACCTATCTTTTTCCAATGACCCCTGCATATCTACGGACTCCGAATTTCGCTGAAACGATGACCCTGGATTTTGTATTGTGAACTCCAAACATAGCATAAACGATGACCAACACTCACGTAATATGGACCCCGAAACTAGCTCCATCGCTAACCACGGCTTGAATATGGACATTGAAAAAAACCAAAGCGTGTGTCATGATAGTCTACACACAGAAGAAGTGACTTCTTACCAATCCATATCTCTGAGATGCATAAACTGTGGAACTGATTTGATAGAGCGAAGGCGATATAGTCTAGATCTTAATCAGGTGCAGTTTATTATGAGACAGTGGATAGCTCCTCGACGAGTAAGTGTCAATTCAATTAATTATTTAAATCACTCGTTTTTTAATAGATATGTTTTGTATATGCTATTCCTATAATGTAAAATGAGGTTTTATTGTTTTATATAATTATAATCCTTATATACTGTTGTATTATAATAAATGAAAACATGTTTACTCCTAACACATTAGCTGACTTTGTTATCGAAAATAATTTAAATAGAAGGCGGGCAGATTTTCAACCTATAAATGTAAACTTGGCAGTTTCTATTTCCAAGAGTAGAATACAATGATCTTATATTAATTGCATGTGGAACACACCAACTAAAACAAGCTTGTTCGTATTATGGGCAGCACATAAGAGGCGATGGTTCCTATACTATAGAAGTATGTAGAAATATGGCCAGCGACCTATTGGTTGACTACCCGATTCCTTTGGCCAACTGCAGACTATTGCATGGAAAAATACAAAGCAAACATGTAAGTCGGAAAGTATATCTTATTTATATATTATATGAAAATAATCACAATGGTACATAAGGAAGCTATAAAAGAATATTATTGTAATTGTATGGTTGGCCGAAGGACAGTGTGTTGCTGAGCTCATATAATGACTACTTTAAGGTTTTTAAGTTGGGCAAGGTATCAGGAACACATTTCAATACCTGCCCAATTTCTTGAACATATTAATAACATATGATGTTGCAAAATAAAAATAAATCATAAAAAAATTTGATTTATTCCGCTTTAACCTGTTTTTTCTCACATGACAAAAATCTCTTTTTAAACATTTTGAAACAAAATTAAGTTCATATTCTCATTATTACTAGTTAGTGCTTTTAAACTAATTACAAAAAATATGATAAAATGTCTGTTCACATCAGGCTAAAGTCCCCATACTAAGTGGACAATCTCCTTTAGTTTTCTGTGAATAAGAAATGATTTTAAGACTGTATATGCTAATTATGATTAGTTATAACTTAAAAGTTGTAAAACTTAAAAATTGTAAAAATTATATAAATAAATATTAGATATATTTTGCAGATGGCCATAGACACTTTTTTTATATTACTATTTGATGATTATAGAGAAGAACAGTTCAGAATCAGACGAACCAACAGTTGTGTTGCCGACAAAACGGGCTCAGAAAGTGAACCCGAACATACAAAGTACCGGCGGCCAGAAGAAACAAAGAGTGGAAATAGAGGACGAGCCTAGCAGTGATGATGAAAAGGTATTGATATTATAATCACATGTGTATTACTCGCTGCAAGTATTAAGAGTGACAGGTCATTTAACATAAGGAAATACACTTTATTTCCTTCAATATAGTATATTATGTACATAATGGTACATATTTTTCATTATATAAATTCTGATAGTAAAAATAATATGAAAATTGTTATATTTAAACCATCTTTGTGTTATTATTATTCACCTCTAAATTAATGTTCTAAGTCTTTTTCTGGTCTTATTTCTACATGTGTAAAGATTTAATATTAATAATTTTATTTTTCTATTTAAGTTAATGTTTCATATATCCATTATATACAGAACTCTTCCATTATGTGACTAAATATAAGTCAAAATAGTCTATATTTTAAGTAAAGTGATGTTAAAAATTTCCCTAACAAAAGTATTATTATACAAAGTACATATTAGAAAGTGTTTTATAACAGCATCAGTAAGTTAGTGAAGTACAAAGTAGTTTATTCAAATATTAGAATATAATAATGTAGTATTCAATAAAACAATATTAAATTAGTCATGTATGTATTGTGCTAAGTAGCAAACTGAATGACGGCAACTAATATAATAAAGACATCAACCTACATTACATGTATAACTAATACATAACAAATAATATTAATCATAATCTTATAGCATTATACTAAACTTTATCAAAATCATTCCAGCAACAACCAAACACAACACTGTCTGTACAACAACAATGTGAAAATGCCACGGCCACATACGAACTTGATACGGAGAAAGACAAAGATGCTCAAGCGATATTTGAGAAGGCACAGAAAATAAACGAGGAACTCCAAGGACAAGCTGATGATAAAGTATGTATTTATTTATACTACTAAATTCTACTTAATTCTACTGTTTTCTACCAATTTTTTTAAATATTTTTTTTGTTTGACAGTAATCAAAAAATGAAACCATAATATTAGAATTATTACATTTGCTACAAGTTTTTATTCCGAGCATTAGATTTGTCCAATTTAGTCTCATATTAAAATAAAAATTATATAATTAGTTAATGTTTATTTCTGATTGGATTACAAGAAAAATTGTTTAATACTATTATGTAAGTTAGAAATATAGGGTATATGAAATTTTAATTACAACTTCATAAAATAAAGTACTGAAAATTCTTGTTAATAAGAGATGACATGTCCAAATTTTCTATTAATTTATATTTTATAATCAAACCCAGAATTGTAGGTTCTCATAAATTATTTGTAAAAATATAGTTTTAACTTACATTTTTGCTAATATTACAAATTCAATTTTTTATGTGGATGTTTGTTGATCTCGGAAGAGAAACGTATTAAACGGATTTTGATGAAACTTTTCATATATGTATCTCAGACAGTTATATTATATTCAGAATATTTGTAAAGTTCCATACTCAGAAAACTTCATGAAAGTTGTGTTTTCTATGGAGTTACCAATAGTATATGTTGAAAACATTTGGTTATATTAATCCACGTCCCGAGCCCATTTAGACATGGTCGCTAGCATAAACTAGTATCCTCGTCGTTATCAGCCTATCAGAGCCCACTGATGAACAAAGGCCTCTTCTCACATGGAGAAGGTTATAGCATTAATCACTACGCTCGCTCAAGATGGGTTGGTGATTATAAACTTATAATTATGTATTTTAAGTCCAAGTTTCATCACGATGTTTTCCTTCATCTGTCAGTGATATCTAAATACTCTTAGAAAGTACAAATGACTTGGAAAAATCACATTGGTACTTGCCAGGATCGAACCCGCGCCCTCATGCACGAGAGGCGGGCCTTTTACTAGGCCACCACTGACTAGTATCCTATATATGTGAAATTATTACAATTTCTTTCTGCAACTATGAATAATTATATTTCCAGGTGTATCGTGGTATAAATAACTATGCCCAGTATTATAAGAAACGTGACACAGCGGCTGGGAACGCTAGCTCTGGTTTGGTGAGGAAAGGTCCTATCAGGGCGCCCGCTAACTTGAGAGCCACGGTCAGGTAAGAAATGTTACTGAGACGAGTGTCACAGTTATATGGTTTATTTGGTCATATTTTATCACTAGGAATTCTTAAGGACTAGAACTAAGAATTTTATTTACTTAAACATATATTAGGAGTATATTAAAATTTACTTTGTGTTATATTGTCCTATATTGTTTAGTTGTCAATTACTTTTAAGTGACCATAATCAAAAGAAGACGTGATTTTGACTTAAACCAGGACCATTTAAATGTACGAGAACTTGTCGCTCGTACACTTAATAAAATGATATAAATTATGCTTCTAAGTTTGATTAATTTGTTATAATATATATTATGTATGATTGATTGATTGATGAGAACGTCCGGTCTACTTGGTGACCAAATAGGAATTGAATTAAACTATAAGTTATCGAGATTTTATAATATAACAAGAATGATGATGCTTGCATTTACAGTATTTCGCAATGAAACAAAAATAATGATGTGTGTATTTACATGCCCCCGCAATTATGTCGAGCGTAGCTCGTACAAAAATGAATATATTTTTATGTTGTGACTATACATTTTAATTTCATTAAATACCAGATATTACTATTATGTTTGTTTGGATTTTATCGCAAACTAAAAACAAGGATACATAATTAGTATGCAGTCTTATTTTTTGAAGCAATGCATTGCAGGCAAATTTAGGTGAAGATAATCCCTACTAATATTATTAATGCGAAAGTAACTCTGTCTGACTGTCTGTCTGTTACGCTTTCACGTCTAAACCACTGAACTGATTTTAATGAAATTTAGTACAGAGATGGAGTTGACCTTGAGAAAGAACATAGGATAGTTTTTATCAAAGACATTTGAAAGGTTCTCTTGGAAACGCGATATAACCGAACTCCACGCGGGCGAAGCTGCGGGCAGAAAGCTAGTATTAATATATATAAAAGTGGGGGGTGTAGCAATAGATATATACATTTATATAGAAAAAGAGAAGGGAGTGAGAGAGAATGCAAGAACTATGACACTTATATACATATACAAGGCTTTATGCCATGTAAAGCATTATAAGTTTAAGAATATGTTGGGTGTTGTACTATGTCAGTAATGTTTTGATTATTTTGATAAGTGGGTGTGTTAGTATGTATCACCTATATAATAATAACTTTTAAATATCTTCTAGCGTCATCTAGTTGACTCATAAGTACAACTTATATGTAATCCATGTTTGTTATTATTGTGTCAAATGTCAAGTTAGTTCATAGAAAATATTCAACATGTCTTAATAAAAACAATTATTATATGTTTATCGTAGTAATCGGAAATTAAATTTGTTACAGGTGGGACTATCAGCCGGATATCTGTAAGGATTACAAGGAGACTGGCTTCTGTGGTTTTGGAGGTATGATGATGTAGCCTGTAGATGAATATTGATCGTTATATGCTTTGTGTCGAATCTAGAACATGGAACATCTAATACTAAAAACCACTTAAAAACGGTTATAGAGAGAAATTCCCGTGATATTTTACTACATATTTCTATATGTTTTCCTATCTAAAAGTTTTATATGCAATTTATCTAGTAAGCCAAAATAAATGTGTAATATTTATACAATTACAATTTTAAGTCTCGATAGAAATTTATTTCTAAACAAAATTTATATAGACAATAGGAATGTTCAACCTGAACTGGGAATTAGATCCAAATGTTGTCAAACCCTGATCTAGACTATGATTGAACCACAATGTTCCAGACTCCTGCAAGTTCCAAAATAGGTGTGTAATATTTCTACAATTATAATTTTAAGCCTCGAGAAAAACTGATTTCTAAATAAAATTTAGAATGAGACAATAGGAATGTTCAACATTAAGTGTTAATTGGATCCAAATGTTGTCAAACCCTGATCTAGACTATGATTGAACCACAATGTTCCAGACTCCTGCAAGTTCCTCCACGACCGATCAGACTACAAGCACGGCTGGCAGTTGGAGAGAGAGGAAACGGAACATAAGGCCGGTGATTCAGATTATGAGATACACAGCGATGAAGAATTACCATTCAAATGTTTTATATGTAGGGAGAGTTTTAAGGACCCCGTAGTTACTAGGTCAGTTGGATCATTATACATAATACTAGCTGCGCCCCGCAGTGTTACCCGCGGATTTCCGAGACGAAAAGTAGCCTACGTGTTATTCCTGGACGTCAGCTTCCTGTATACAAAATTTTATCAAAATCGGTTCAGCCGTTTGAGCGTGAAGAAGTATCAAACATACACACACTCACAAACTTTCGCAATTATAATATTAGTAGGATTTGGTTGCCGAGCTTTGCTCAGTATTTAGGAATTATTAGTAATTTTTTTTTTTTTCAATTTCGTTTAGGCATTTTAAGTTAACACGTTAAGACACAAAACAATATAAATCAAAAATTATTTTTTTTGTCTAAACTCAAACACTCATTGACTTCCTGTTACTTAACAACGTCATCTGCTGTTGTGTCGTTAAAGCAATTAGCAAACAGTAGTATTACTATTCGCCACTATATGTCAGGATGAGTCACATTTCATACGCATCCTTTTTGTTATTTTTATAAAAGGACATTTTCTAGAAATGATTCCTAGCTAGATCGATTTATCGCCCTCGAAACCTATATACTAGCATGATTATTGTTATAAGGAGGAAGGGAAAATGAATTTATTAGTTTAGAACTACTCTTGTGTTTTGGTATAAACTATAGTTGAAATCATTAACCTAAGGTATGTAAGATTTCCGGTGTCATTTGGTATGGGCAATAAACTGAGTAGAATCACTAGTATGGCCTATTTAGGGTTTTTAAGTCTTGAAAAGTAAACTTTAAACTTAAGTGCCCAAAAACTAAAAATTTAAGTGCAGTTAATAATCCACAAGTGTACTACAATTTATTCTCCATACTTGTAGCATAGATGAGATTAATTTAACAAAGTTGGGGTCACTGATTAATCTTTTTGTTTTTCTCTATGAAGTCGAAAATAGATAGGTGACATATCGTCGGGGATAGTGCAATTCCGTGTATCTACATTGGAACCTGATTATCAGAAGAAAGTTTAAGCTGAAATATTTTCTATATTAACGACAATATTTGAGGCAATTTTTTGACAGTTAGAAATATATTAATCACTAAATAATTCCAATAAATAAATAGAATAATCCCCGACGATGCTTTATATAGACAAAGGAACTCGCAAGGTGACTTACGTTTCAATTTTGTTAGGAAACTGACTTTCTTTGCAGTTTTGATGGGTTGATATGATCAATACATTAGTCCTATAGATAAAATTTTGAATTATGGACCTATTTGCTTTATAGACTCATGAATCTATACCCAATTACATATTTCCTTAAAAATAATAGTTGCAAAATTAAACCATTAATCCAAAATGTACTCATTTCAGATGTAAGCATTATTTTTGTGAGAAATGCGCGTTATCCCAGTACAAGAAGCAGTGGCGTAACTATACCGTTCGAGGCCCGTGGCAAATTCATCGGATGGACCCCTCCCCCCAATACAAAAAAAATGAACCAACAATAATAATATTTTTTTATTTTATAATACTTATTTATACACTTTTACTTGCAAGAGTACAATAATAAATCACTACGTTAAGTAGGTACATACAAACTTTATAATTATACTTTGGTACTTGATTTTCTAATAATTCACTTTAAAATTAATATACCTAATTATAACCCTGGGTGTTTCAAAAGTAACGTGAATAGGCATCTTCTGGGTAAGCTCGCTCCATCGTAGGCCACATCATACCTTAGACATGATTGTGGTCAAGAGCAAGCCCATTTCAAATAATAAAAAAAAAGTACAGTCAGCATCTTATTGATATAGACACATAGAGTAGTCAAAATGATTTGAACAACAAAAAAAGCAATTTGATATACGCAGTCCGAATAATCATATTGTTAAAAGCACACAAGTTGTTCAAAATATAAAATGTTAATTATTAAAATTCCTTCCTTCGGAGTTTCTGTTCAGCAAAGGTGGTAATGATATCATCAAAGTTCAAATTTCGGGCCATAGAATTTTCGATGGATAGAATAGCAAAGTTGCTTAACCTGTCTTGTCCCATAGAATTTCTTAAATAAGTTTTTATCAATTTCAGTTTTGAAAACGATCGCTCGGCACTAGCCGTAGTCACAGGAATGGTGAGAAATAATAGAGATGCAGTGCACACTTCAGGAAAGCTTGAAGATATAAAATGATTTTTATTATTAATAAGTCAGCAAGTTCTCTTATAGAAGACGATGTTTCTATTTCGTGTCTAAAAGAGGATCTAAAACTGAGAATTTCTTTGCAAAATGAGATGGATATATCTTCTTTATATAGATGGACAAATGCTAAAGCCTTCTCCAACAAATCAGTATCGTTCAAATTTTGTAAAGTGGCAGGTTGCAAGACACTGAAATTGGAAACAATTTCATTCATTCCAAGGAAACGCGATCTCAGTTGATTAATGATTATGTCTAATACATGATAGAATACGTTCACGTTAAACAAGCTTTTAGGATCTTGGAGACGTTCATCCTCAAAATTTCATCAAAATGACGTTTCACTTTTCTCTGATGAGTTTTAGGAAATTCAGGGTTTATAGACCATTTCGTTGCAATACTATTTGCCTCCATTTTTAAATCTTCAAATTCATTTCGATACTTTTCAAGTTGTTCTAGACAAAACTTTTTTTACTAAACATGTATGATAATTAATAAATGCTGGGAGTTGGGGTTCTCCTCTGACCGGGGGCCCCTTCCGGCTGGGGGCCCGTGGCATTTTGCCGACTTGCCACCCTGTAGTTACGCCACTGACAAGAAGTCAACTCGACGTTTCATATGTAACGCTCAAACCAGTGGAGTGTTCAACCCCGCGAAGGAGTTGGAGGCGAAGATGAAGGAACGGAATAGTGATGATGATGATGATGATGATGAACAATAAATGATTATAACACATAAGACTTTTATTAGTTTTAAATTATATTTGAGTAGTCATATTAAATGAGAAGGGTATTTTGATAATTTGGAATGTAAAATAAAGGGCTATGTCCATTTTTGGCCTAGTGTGAACAAGCTGCTATCAAGAAAACAAGTTTATGAAATAAAATATAATTTTTAATTAACTAGCCATTCTATTGTTGTTTGAGTGTACATTTGTATTTTATTGAATAAATATTTTTAAAGTATCTTCATTGATTTACGTTATTCATCCACGTTTTGTATTACCAGCAAGATCAATTAACGATTGCGTAAAATCGAATCATCTCGCAGTACTTAATACAACTATAAGTATTTGAGACAATAAAAATTTAAAAATATTTGTTTTAATTAGATTCGTCATTTAAAACGTTTTATAAACTGAAATATGAAGAATGTTAAACGTAATCATATCTGTTTTCGATCGATTTTTTAATGATTTTTTCTATTGCAACACTAATAAAACAAAAAAATACAAATTGACATTGGTATGTCACAAACTGATTTTTATTTTTTACATTCGCTTTGTTTACCTACATTGAGAGTGTCGATTTATTGTGTATTTTCTTTCAACGATTGTTTATTCATTATGGACTCCGACCTATCTTTTTCCAATGACCCTTGCACATCTACGGACCCCGAATTTCGCTGAAACGATGACCCTGGCTTTTGTATTATGGACTCCAAACATAGCATGAACGATGACCAACACTCACGTAATATGGATCCCGAAACCAGCTCGACGGCTTGAATATGGACATTGAACAAAACCAAAGCGTGTCTCATGATAGTCTGCACACAGAAGAAGTGACTTCTTACCAATCCGTACCTCTGAGATGCATAAACTGTGGAACTGATTTGATAGAGCGAAGGCGACATAGTCTAGATCTTAATCAGGTGCAGTCTATTATAAGACAGTGGATAGCTCCTCAACGAGTAAGTGTCAATTCAATTAATTATTTAAATCACTCGTTTTTTATAGATATGTATTGTTTATTCTATTCCTATAATGCAATATGAGATTTAACAATTATAATCCTTATATACTGTTGTATTATAATAAATGAAAATATGTTTACTCCTAACACATTAGCTGACTTTGTTATCAAAATACTTATATAAATAAGTATTAGATATATTTCACATTTTGCCATAAACACATTTTTATATTGTTATATTTGCTGATTATAGAGAAGAACAGTTCAGAATCAGATGAACCAACAGTTGTGTTGGGGACAAAACGGACTCAGAAAGTGAACCCGAACATACAAAGTACCGGCGGCCAAAAGAAATAAAGAGTTGAAATAGAGGACGAGCCTAGCAGTGATGATGAAAAGGTATTGATATTATAATCACATGTGTATTACTCGCTGTAAGTATTAAAAACTACACTGGTTATTTAACAAAAGGAAAAACATTTTATTTACTTGAACATAGTATATTATGTACATAATGGTACATATTTTTCTCAATAAAAATTCTGGTTATAAAATTAATATGAAAAATGTTATATTTAAACCATCTTTATCTTATTATTATTGAGTTCTAAATTAATATTCTAAGTCTTTTTCTGGTCTTAAGTATTTCTACATATGTAAAGGTTTGATAATAATTTTATGTTTCTATTTAAGTTAATGTTTCATAAGTCCTTTACATGCAGTATGCTTCCAATATGTGACTGATAATAATTAGTCAATTTACTTAAAATAAAGTCTAAATAGTTTATATTTTAGGTGAAGTGATGTTAACAATTTCCCTAACAAAAGTATTATTATACAGCAGTGCACATTAGAAAGGCTTTTATAGCCGAATCAGTAAATAAGTAAAGTAAAAAGCAATTTATTTTAAATATTTATTTTAAAGAATATAATAAGATTAATCATAATACAGCAATATATACTAAACTTTAATCAAAATCGTTCCAGCAACAACCAAACACAACACTGTCAGTACAACAACAAAGGGAAAATGCTACGGCCACATACGAACTTGATACGGAAAAAGACAAAGATGCTCAAGCGATATTTGAGAAGACTCAGAAAATAAACGAGGAACTCCAAGGATAGGCTGATGATAAAGTATGTGTTTATTTATACTTCTAAATTCTACTAAATCTACTGTTTTCTACCAATTTTGTTAAATATTTTTTGGTTGAGATTTAGTTCAAAACTAGAGCCAGAATTAATATTAAGATACATAATATTATTCATTTTTTTTACCAACATATTTTTACTCTGAGCATTAGATTTGTCCAATTTAGTCGAATTTAAAAGAAAGATAATATAATGAATTAATATTTATTACAGATTATATTAAATTAAAAATTGTTTAATAGTTTTTATGATATTATAAGTAAGAAAAATATTAGTTATAATTATACAACTTCATATAATAAAGTAATGAAAAATCTTGTTCATAAGAGATGTAATGTCCAAATTTTCTATCCCTACTAATACTATAAATGAGAAAGTTACTCTGTCTGTCTGTTACGCTTTCACGCCTAAACCACTGAACTGATTTTAATGTAATTGAGTACAGAGATGAGTAGACCTTGAGAAAGAACATAGGATAGTTTTTATCCCAGACTTTTCACAGGTTCTCTTGGAAACGCGATGTAACAGAACTCCACGTGGGCGAAGCTGCGGACGGAAAGCTAGTTAATTTATATTTTATAGTCAAACTAAGTCAGAATTGTAGGGTCATAAATTTATTCCATAATATACTTTTAACTAACGTTCTGCTAATATTATAAATGGATTGTTAATGGGGATGTTTGTTGATCTTGAAAGAGAAATATACTAAACGGATTTTGATGAAACTTTTCATATATGTATATCAGAATATTTGTCAAGTTCCATACGCAGAAAACTACATGAAAGTTGTGTTTTCTATAGAATTACCAATAATATATGTTGAAAAAATTTGCTTATATAAAAAATATAATAAAAATAATATATATTATATTATATTTAGCTACAACCAAAGTCCATTTGGACAAAGTCGCTAGCATAAACTAGTATCCTCGTCATCATCAGCCTATCAGAGCCCTCTGCTGAACAAAGGCCTCTTCTCACATGGAGAAGGTTAGAGCATTAATCACTACGCTTTCTCAAGACGGGTTGGTGATTATAAACTTATAATTATGAACTTTAAGTCCAGGTTTCCTCACGATGTTTTCCTTCATCTATCAGTGTTGTCTGATAACCCTTAGAAAGTACATATGACTCGGAAAAATCACTTTGGTACTTGTCAGGATCAAACCCGCGCCCTCATGCATGAGAGGCGTGCCTTTTACTAGGCCACCACTGACTAGAGTCCTATACACATATGTGAAATTATTAAAAATTCTATCTGCAGTTGTAAATAATTCTATTTCCAGGTGTATCGTGGTATAAATAACTATGCCCAGTATCATAAGAAACGTGACACAGCGGCTGGGAACGCTAGCTCTGGTTTGGTGAGGAAAGGTCCTATCAGGGCGCCCGCTAACTTGAGAGCCACGGTCAGGTAAGAAATGTTACTGAGACGAGTGTCACGGTTATATGGTTTATTTGGTCATATTTTATCACTAGGAATATATATAATAATAATATATTTTAATAATATATTTTTATTTTGTGACTTTATTAATTTTAATTGCATTAAATACCAAATATTACTATTTTATTTGTTTTTATTTTATGGCAAACAAGAATACATAAACAGTTTGCAAAGTATTATTATTTGAAGCAGTGTTTTATAGGCAAATTTGGGTAAAGATAATATTAAAACATGGATGTTGGGGTATAGGAATAAATGTATAGAAAGAGAGAGTGTTGTAAAGGGAGTGAGAGAGAATGCAAGAAATATGGCACTTATGTATACAAGGCTTTATGCCATGTAAAGCATTATAAGTTTATGAATATGTTGGGTGTTGTACTATGACAGTAATGTTTTGGTTATTTTGATAAGAGGGAGTGTTAGTATGTATCACCTATATCAAAATAAGTTTTAAATATCTTCTAGCGCCATTTTGTTGACTCATAAGTACAACTTATATGAACATAATCCTTGTTTGTCATTATTGTGTTAATTGTCAAGTTAGTTCATAGAAAATAAATAAAAGCAATTATTATATGTTTATCTTATTAATCGGAAATTAAATTTCTTTCAGGTGGGACTATCAGCCAGATATCTGCAAGGATTACAAGGAGACTGGCTTCTGTGGTTTTGGAGGTATGATGATGTAGCCTGTAGATGAATATTGATCGTTATATGCTTTGTGTCGAATCTAGAACATGGAACATCTAATACTAAAAACCATTTGAAAAGCATTTTGGAGACAAAAATCCCTTGCAATTTTACTATTTCTAAATGTTTTCTGGTCTAAAAGTTTTATATCCAATTGATCTAGTTAAACAAAGTCGTTGTGTAATATTTCTACATTTGCAATTTTAAACCTCAACAGAAATTTAATTCTAAACAAAACTTATAATGAAACAATACGAATGTTCAACCTCAAGTGTTAATTGGATCCAAATGTTGTCAAACCCTGAACTAGACTATGATTGAACCACAATGTTCCAGACTCCTGCAAGTTCCTCCACGACAGATCAGACTACAAGCACGGCTGGCAGTTGGAGAGAGAGGAAACAGAACATAAGGCCGGTGATTCAGATTATGAGATACACAGCGATGAAGAATTACCATTTAAATGTTTTATATGTAGGGAGAGTTTTAAGGACCCCGTAGTTACTAGGTCAGTGGGATCATTATATATAATTCTAGCTGCGCCCTGCGGATTTCCGGGATGTAAAGTAGCCTATGTGTTATTCCTGGACGTCAGCTTCCTGTATACAAAATTTTATCAAAATCGGTTCAGCCGTGTGAGCGTGAAGAAGTAACAAACATACACACATACTCACAAACTTTCGCAATTATAATATTAGTAGGATTCGGTTACCGAGCTTGGTTGGGCAATAAACTGAGTAGAATCACTAGCATGGCCTATTTAGGGTATTTAATGCTTGAATAGGGAACTTTAAGGTAAAGTGCCTCAATACTAAAGATTTAAGTGCAGTGAATAATCCACAAATGTACTACAATTTCCTGTCCGTATTTGTGCAATAGACTAACTTTCTTTACAAAAATTTGTAGTCACCAATTAACCTTTTTACTTGTCTCTCTGTGAAGAACAAAATAGTTAAGTGACATATACACTACGTATACCCGGAAGTGACAACAGTATTAAACAAACAACCCAACTATGCTTTGTATAGACAAAGGAGCTAACAAGGTGACTTACGTTTCAATTTTGTTAGGAAACCGAGTTTCTTTGCAGTTTTAATGGGTTGATATGATCAATGCATTAATCCTATATATAAAAATTGGGAACTATGGATCGACTTGTTCTATACACTCATGAATCTATACCCAATTACCTTTTTCCTTAAAAATAATATTTCCAAAATTAAACTTTTAATCTAAAATGTTCTGGTTTCAGATGTAAGCATTATTTTTGTGAGAAATGCGCGTTATCCCAGTACAAGAAGTCAACCCGATGTTTCATATGTAACGCTCAAACCAGTGGAGTGTTCAACCCCGCCAAGGAGTTGGAGGCGAAGATGAAGGAACGGAATAGTGATGATGATGATGAACATTAACAATAAATGATTATAACACATAAGACTTTTATTAGTTTGAATCTGAAACCGATTTAAATTATGATAAGTAAATTAAAAGTATATGTCGGACTTGACCGGGTTATGTGGGGATGGGTTACAGTAGTACCTCTGGGTGTTCTTCTTCTATCCCACCAAGGCAGTTCCACGGTGTTACAAGAGCTTGCCTCGCGACCCCCCCGTAAAACCATATTCCAATTGCTTTATTTACTGAACTATCGTGATTTAAAGAATTTTTCATTCTGTATGTTATAATTAATATTATAATGTCCGTTCAACATTACTTTTATGTTAAAAATATAGTTGCTTCAATTCTTTTATACAATGTTTTTTTGAATTTAATATTATGTTAAACTTAATTCCGGATTACAAATTAGGGCATTAGATAAGTAGAGATATTTGTTTTAGATCTGTAAGTTACATTTGAATGACGAAATAATGTATATATATTGCGATAATAATAAATAAAGACCGTTTAAAATTCCTTATAATTGCAATCAAACAGTTCAGATTAAAATGTAATTTTAAAAACGTCAAAATAATATAAAAAATGTTTCAATATACAACGTAACTTTACGCTTGTTTATTTTTTTTACAAACCAATTAATAGTAAGTGTTAAAGTAAAAAACGCAATTAAATCGTAATATAAAGAAATACTTGTTTGTCTTTACATTTGTACGGAAAATATTGGTAATTGATATATTTTTTATTTATTATATAGGGGCCATCCATAAATTACGTCACACGTAAAGGGGTGGGAGGGGGTCGACAAAGTGTGACATGGTGTGACAAGGGGTGGGGGGGCTCCTAAGTTTCGTGACATCACATTTCAAAATCTAGAGGTACTAATCACGTAATTTGAAATATTAATTAAAATCTTTAAACTGAGCGCGTCATCACATCTATATATATATCGCACGCTGAGAACGAAAGTGACTCAACTCAAAATTGCTAATTTTTGGGAAAGAGCGAAAATGTGTCCGTCGTATTAAACATTTTCTGTTCATTTTACAATAACTCTAAAACATGGTAACAAAAGTTATGAATTTCTGTTGAAATTTATTGTTTCACTAAATAGCTTTAGAAACATTATATAGTTTTTGCAAAAAAATATGATTTTCTCGTATAAAATAAAATTTAGAAAAAAAAAATCGAAAAAATAGGTCACTTTAGTATTAGAAGTTTTTTATTTCTACTGACCTTTTTAGGTAAAGGTCTGTTCATTTCTAACTTTGTTTTAAAAAAATATGTTTTTCTAAAAAATAAGTCAGTTTCATTTTTAAGATTTCATTCAAACAAACAGACACAAAGCGTAATCGGTCACTACGTTGCTAAACTTGTCACGTCTTATCACGACAACTCACGGTGCAAGAGTGATTTCGTCACTTTCATTCGGGCGCGGGGGCAGGGAACGCTTGAGTGACAAAGAGACCGAAATATACCTCTATCGTTTTCTTACCTTTATTGGTCAGTTTTCTAATATAATTATGATAGAATATACTTTTTTAAGTCATTCTGTATACTTAACTCATTTAACCAAAATTTTGAAATCGGTCACTTTCGTTCTCAGCGTTCGATATATTCATTAGTTTATTTTTTTGTTATTATTTCAAATATTTGATACTATGTTGATTTTATAAAAAGTACTTAATTTAAATGGAAATAAAACTGCTGTTTTAATTTAATAATTTTTCGATGTTAAATTGCAAAACATGTGACGTCACGCTAGGGAGGGGGGGGGGGGGTCTCAAAAATGTGACCACCTGTGACAAGGACGGGGGAGGGCTCGAAAACTCATGAAATTAGTGTGACGTATTTTATGGATGGCCCCATAGCCACAGCAAGGCTCTACCAACTACAAACATAATTTTGGGTTACATGACAAAACTTAAACACTTACTTAAGAGTAAGTTAAGATAATAAAGTATATGTTAAGGTAAAAGGGTAATTGAAACTTAAATTTTGTAATTTATATAAATGTTTCAGTATTGATGTTATAGAACATTTACTTATAGTGGATCGCCACTAAATTAACAAAAAACTTGGAGTGCAGTCTCGGACTTTTTGATTATTATAAACGGCTGGCTAAGACCGATAGTCCGATTTTTTTTAGCAAGAAGTACCTTACTTCAGCCAACTATATATATTGAAAATCTTAAATCATATTCAGACGATTTTCAATCAAATTTAACAGAAATTGTCCATTTTTACTTCTAGCATAACATCTATACATACAAATAAAATTCGAGTGTCTGTTTGTGATATTGAAGTAACGTAAAAGTATTGAAGTAAAATATTAAAGATAGGGACCCCTTAAAGCTACTCCTGGGTCGCAAGTCCCAGTCACTGTTCAAGCTCCTCTCACAGCAACGATGGGCCTGACACACGCACCGTGAATACATGGAATGATGAGAGGTTTCGTCTCTTTTACAATTTTTGTCTGAAGTTGTGTCCGTTTTTTCCGGGTAATGTTTGTAATGGCTGGACCGATTTTAACGGGACTGATAGTTGATGTAATAAGGAGTTAGTTAGAGTACTTTTTATCTCGATACTGAATACCGACTTCGAAATTAAGCATTATAAAGGGTGTGCTCATGCGGTGTTTAATATATTTTTCATAGTTTTTGTTTTCTGTACAGAGACGGAGTTGCAGGAAACAACTGGTTTATAAATAAATCTCTAAAAAATGTTCTCGCCTTTCCATTGAAGCATCATCAGATACAGAGTAATGATTTATTAATGGGACCTTGTTAAGAGTATTTAGACATCACTGACAGATGAAGGAAAACATCGTGAGGAAACCTGGAGTTATAATATCAAATTATAAGTTTGAAATCGTCAACTCGTCATGAGCAAGCGTGGTGATTAATGGTCTAGCCTTCTCCATGTGAGAAGAGGCCTTCGCTCAGCAGTGGGCTCTGATAGGCTGATGATGATGATGATGATATAGGTTGGCAACTAGAGTTTTCAGGAAAACTACGTTACTTATTTGCACGTATATTATAATACGAATTACAAATTAAAACTTATAACCTACACCTAAGACTACATGATTGACCCGATGTTAGGATAGCAATACCATTCCATAGCTTGTGTGGTATCAGGAATCTTCTGGTTCACACGGCTTGGTGTTCGTTCCGCGGAGTCAGCGGCGTCACTCGTTATATGATATTATATACATACAACCCTATTGCCCTGGCGATGTTCATTTATTTTCTTATCTGTAGTGCGTACGTTACAAGTTAGTAAACAATTTGGTTCAGTGGCGATTGAAGAGGATTCCACATTACATATGTAGAACAAGAACGGTTTAGTTTTGTTGTAAATAATATCATATAATAATACTTTCTTTCTATTTATTGTGACATTGGTATAAAACTTAACATTACTCTTAATTTTTCTAAATTACGAGAATAACACGTGTAGTTTGTTTCGATAAATCCTATTTCTAGCTGTACATTAATCTTGGTACTAACTTCTCGATAACAAGAAAAGGAACTACGATGTAAGATTTTCACGACTACACATTTAGACAGACACATTTCATTTCAATGTGACTAGTATTTTTTATTTCAAATTTTATCTACATTCTTTGAGGGAAGCTAGCTTGACATCTATACTACTTAAAAATGTAAACAAGATAAAAGAAAATTACAAAAGTTAGTTCTAGAAGAGTATAATACCATACTTCTATTGTACTATTCTTTATCATATTTCAGTATAGCTTTTTCATCGACTTGAAAACCTTAATTAAAAGACTTGTGTTCGAAAGCAGACGTCTCATTATAATAAAAAAATCTTAATTTAAATTACGGTTATGAATAAATAGTTATGCAAAATTATCAGTACTTTTTGAAAAAATCTTCTCAGAAAATATTTCTCTATTACGGAGATTCAGGAACTTGGTTCAAGCAATATTCAATAAATATAACTTGACGAATATGTCCTATAATTACGAAGTGTCATTGATAAGATAAACATATATGAAAAATTCATTAAAGTGCTTAAACTTTTGTTAGTTTTTGTCAAATCTTTTAACAGCTTTTGTCTTTTGGGTATTACAAGAGAGGAAGATAAAATTGAGTCGTTAAGTAAAAAGCTAACCAGGAAAACAACTTGTTTCCACTAATATATGAAAAACCATATTCTTACATACTTAGGATATTAAATACTTCATTCTCAAACACGCGTTCGCGTAATGTATTCTTTAATTACTTTAAAATATTATGCATTTCATCACTATATGATGCAATTATATTTAAACTAAGTAATGGTTTGATATATAATATTATCGCAGCTTTAATAAAACTCACGCAAGGTTGTAAACACTATTGTGTAAACTAAAATCAATTTTCACTGAACTGCAACACGTGTAAGTTCGTTCACTAATTGCGATAATATTCTTTTATAAGCAAACAGCGTAAAAAACTATAAAATTAATTACACTCATACTCCATTCTACCAGATCATACTTCAACATACGATTTCCCAAAGAGGGTTGATGTCAGGCAGGCGGCCGGTCATAAAAACAATTAGCCAAAAAAAAAAAACTATTCACAACATGTAAGGCAGACCCTGACTAAAACTGGGAAATTGCCAGGTAGAAGAAGAGAAGATCATACTTTCAAGATAGACGATTGTCAAGTGAATCTTCATTAGTCGAAAAATTCTAAGACTTGTTCTTACTTAAGACAGTTTCTTTTAATAAAAAAATTAATACCACTTTTGTTAGTTCTAAATCTTTTTAATGGAAATATGATTTATTTCAAATGATTTGTAAATTAACGATAGCTTATGAATTATCTTTGGAATTTAAGGTCTAGAGATGTAATAAGAAACAACTAATTCTTCAACAAAATTACAAACTTAGTGAATGTATGTAGGATATTTCTAACATGTTTTTAAAAGTTTTACTTATGTATAACAGATTGTTACTGAAATTTGAAACTACCTGAGGATTTAAAAAGTCAAAGGATAGGTCAGATTTATTGAGAGCTGTATAACTTTGCAAAAGTTTTAATAAAGAATTTCTTTTTGCTATCAAATTTAAAAGATTTTAAGGTATGCAATCAAAACGAATTCTTTACTATTTTCTATATATTTATTTTCTACATTCTTTAATATATATATATTTCTAAATATAGTCTTACTTTACCTAATTAAAAGTTAATTACTTTAGTTTCATCTAGAATTCTTTTGAGGCGAATTACTTTATTACCATTATTATAAAGGTCAAAATCCTTAACAATATATTATAATACGTATGAATCGGTTAAAATTGATTTTTCGGTTATTAATAGTCAACTTCGATTAGCCACCAGTATAAATGCCATTTTGAAATAATAACTACCGTGATATGGGTATGTTTATATATATTTTTTTATACAAATTAGTATATTTTGAAAGTAGCGATAATGTATTTTCAATCTATTTGATTTAGTTCAGAATTTCTCATCAAACTAAACGATTTCTTAATTTTAACTTCCCTAAATTAAATTAATTATAAGTCATTAATAAGTAAATAATATTAAATATTCTTTTATTAGGACATTTTTTTATCTTTAATAAGCAGATTGTGAGAATGAATGCAAAGAAATTGTTACAGTATTCGTAAATATTCATGTTTATAAACTTTCAAATAGAAATACATAGTTTTTTATAACTTACTAAGTTCTTTCTAATTTATTTTGTAATTTAGCACTATGTTAAAAGAGTATAACACAGCTATGAGGACGAGCGACAAAGAACTCGGGAGTAATCTTAAGCAGGACATAAGATTTCGTAAACAACAAGTCATATTTCTTTAACATAAGAATGAGAAATTATCCTTCATTATTTTATAATTATACTTATTCCTTTATATATAGTAGAAACATACAATAATGATTTAAAATAATGTCTACATAAAGTATAGCAATGAAATAAATTTTCCAATGTTTAAAATTTCAGAGTTCACATATTACCTGGTCCTTGCCTGCATTACAGTAGTTGCAGGTAACCCATGCCTGAACCAGACGTTGAATTCAGTGCCTTATCCCCAAAACTGCAACACATATATAGTCTGTTGGATGTTCAAGCCCTACCTTAAATCTTGCCCGACAGGATTACTCTATGATACCAAAACAAATGTAAGTAACCAATCTAAATATTCTAATCGACTATTTTTTGAGAGAAATTAACAAAAAATGCCCATTAAAGTAAAAAAAAAAATATGTCACAGTGTCGTCACAAGATTAATTTGTTGCGCAATTTATTATATTGTAGTTTTAAGATTTTAAATGTAACAATTTTATAATTTTTTTCGTTGATTTTACTCGTCGTAAGTGTGATATAAATATAGGGTTTTTGTTTATTTGGTCTTAAAAAAATAGTTCAGTAATTAAATGCCTGAATTAAAGGCTCCAACAGTGCTTAATCTAGCAAAAGTGCTCCTCAAAGCAAAACCGTTTTCAAGGGTCGTGTACTTGGTATCAATTCTGATATATAATTACGAGCATATATTAAGAAAAGTTGGGCGTATGTCATATATATTTCTATTTTATTTTTCCAAGTAAATTACTGATTATTTTTAAGTGGATATTATTTCAAACAGATATTTTGTTAATTTGGTTATTACGTCTATTTATGACATACATACTGAACCTACATACTGAACCTACATACTGAACCTGATTGGCATAGATTTTGGAAGGAAATTTTATGCAGTATTACTATAGTTTAGCTTATAAACTAAGATGAAAAAATCGTCATCAATTATGACTATTTAGTAGATATTTTAAGTATATAAACTCTTTCAATTCGTAAAAAAAATCTAATCGGTTGTCATTTACTATAGAATAATACTATAGAATAATATAGAAACTACTATAGAGAAAGCTTAATTAAATATGTATATGTTAAACATATAATATTTATTTCTTAGAACGCATGCGAAAATATTATTTTATTTAACGATCATTCTCTTTCATTTAAATACTACCACGATGATTAATAACCACTTAAACCCGTAAAAAAAAACCATCCTTGACTTCAGAGATATGGGAAATCTTGATATTTACATTATCTTTATACTTGTTCCATTTCCAAGCGAAAACCAGTATTATTTTGTTCAGACAAATACTGAACATGTATTTATTTATTCTATATAAATATAAAGCATGTATAATTTGTACTTTTATATCTACCTGTTGGCACTCACACTGCTCATCATCTTTCATAAAGATTCAGAATAAAAATTGTAACCCAGTGACACGAAGTGCCTTGAATAAATGACAGAGAAGCTAGCACAATCTTTATGAAAAAATCATTATATATAAACAAAGCACTTATAAACCAAAGTACTTCGTAATAAATTATCATAAATAAATTTTCGGTAAACCAAGACTCGAGTAGCAATAAATATTTTTACTAGATATATAAAAAGATATTACTGTTAAATAAAAGTTTCATTTAAACAGGAATAGACTTTGCGTTACCTATGTTGGCTGATAAAAATAAAATATCTCTTACAGAACTGCCAGCCATGGCCAATAGCAATATGCTGCAACTCTGCAACTAAACGTCCACCTCATCCTTTACCTCCTCTGTCTTCACCGCAACCTGGAAGCACCAAAAGGACTTTACCTCCTATTTCAAGCACTACTGCATCAACGTTGACAGAAACTCCGCACGTTCCAACCAATGTCACGCTTCCAACGAGTGTACATCCTACTCAAACAACAACAGCGAGCGTTAAAACCTTACCGCCCACTGCCACAACGCCTACGAAACCCAACACAACGACAACTGAAATGCCCGTGACAACAACTTCAAATCCATTGCCGACGACAACTTCTAGCCCACATACTCTTTCAACTGTAACGGAGACTCCATCCGTTCCAACCGATGTAACGCATCCAACGAGTGTACATCCTACTGAAACAACAACACCGAGCGTTAAAACCTTACCGCCCACTCCCACAACGCCTACGAAACCCAGCACAACGACAACTGAAACGCCCGTGACAACAACTTCCCATCCAACTACAACTTCTAGTCCCATTACTCTTTCAACTGTAACGGAGACTCCATCCGTTCCAACCGATGTAACGCATCCAACGACTGAAACGCCCGTGGTAACAACTTCCCATCCATCGCCGACTACAACTTCTAGCCCCCTTACTCTTTCAACTGTAACGGAGACTCCATCCGTTCCAACCGATGTAACGCATCCAACGAGTGTACATCCTACTGAAACAACAACACCGAGCGTTAAAACCTTACCGCCCACTCCCACAACGCCCACGAAACCCAGCACAACGACAACTGAAACACCAGTGACAACAACTTCCCATCCATCGCCGACTACAACTTCTAGTCCCATTACTCTTTCAACTGTAACGGAGACTCCATCCGTTCCAACCGATGTAACGCATCCAACGAGTGTACATCCTACTGAAACAACAACACCGAGCGTTAAAACCTTACCGCCCACTGCCACAACGCCTACGAAACCCAGCACAACGACAACTGAAACACCCGTGACAACAACTTCCCATCCATCGCCGACTACAACTTCTAGCCCCCTTACTCTTTCAACTGTAACGGAGACTCCATCCGTTCCAACCGATGTAACGCATCCAACGAGTGTACATCCTACTGAAACAACAACACCGAGCGTTAAAACCTTACCGCCCACTCCCACAACGCCCACGAAACCCAGCACAACGACAACTGAAACACCAGTGACAACAACTTCCCATCCATCGCCGACTACAACTTCTAGTCCCATTACTCTTTCAACTGTAACGGAGACTCCATCCGTTCCAACCGATGTAACGCATCCAACGAGTGTACATCCTACTGAAACAACAACACCGAGCGTTAAAACCTTACCGCCCACTGCCACAACGCCTACGAAACCCAGCACAACGACAACTGAAACACCCGTGACAACAACTTCCCATCCATCGCCGACTACAACTTCTAGTCCCATTACTCTTTCAACTGTAACAGAGACTCCATCCGTTCCAACCGATGTAACGCATCCAACGACTGACACGCCCGTGGTAACAACTTCCCATCCATCGCCGACTACAACTTCTAGCCCCCTTACTCTTTCAACTGTAACAGAGACTCCATCCGTTCCAACCGATGTAACGCATCCAACGACTGACACGCCCGTGGTAACAACTTCCCATCCATCGCCGACTACAACTTCTAGCCCCCTTACTCTTTCAACTGTAACGGAGACTCCATCCGTTCCAACCGATGTAACGCATCCAACGAGTGTACATCCTACTGAAACAACAACACCGAGCGTTAAAACCTTACCGCCCACTCCCACAACGCCCACGAAACCCAGCACAACGACAACTGAAACACCCGTGACAACAACTTCCCATCCATCGCCGACTACAACTTCTAGTCCCATTACTCTTTCAACTGTAACAGAGACTCCATCCGTTCCAACCGATGTAACGCATCCAACGACTGACACGCCCGTGGTAACAACTTCCCATCCATCGCCGACTACAACTTCTAGCCCCCTTACTCTTTCAACTGTAACAGAGACTCCATCCGTTCCAACCGATGTAACGCATCCAACGACTGACACGCCCGTGGTAACAACTTCCCATCCATCGCCGACTACAACTTCTAGCCCCCTTACTCTTTCAACTGTAACAGAGACTCCATCCGTTCCAACCGATGTAACGCATCCAACGACTGACACGCCCGTGGTAACAACTTCCCATCCATCGCCGACTACAACTTCTAGCCCCCTTACTCTTTCAACTGTAACGGAGACTCCATCCGTTCCAACCGATGTAACGCATCCAACGAGTGTACATCCTACTGAAACAACAACACCGAGCGTTAAAACCTTACCGCCCACTCCCACAACGCCCACGAAACCCAGCACAACGACAACTGAAACACCCGTGACAACAACTTCACATCCATCGCCGACTACAACTTCTAGTCCCATTACTCTTTCAACTGTAACAGAGACTCCATCCGTTCCAACCGATGTAACGCATCCAACGACTGACACGCCCGTGGTAACAACTTCCCATCCATCGCCGACTACAACTTCTAGCCCCCTTACTCTTTCAACTGTAACAGAGACTCCATCCGTTCCAACCGATGTAACGCATCCAACGACTGACACGCCCGTGGTAACAACTTCCCATCCATCGCCGATTACAACTTCTAGCCCCCTTACTCTTTCAACTGTAACAGAGACTCCATCCGTTCCAACCGATGTAACGCATCCAACGACTGACACGCCCGTGGTAACAACTTCCCATCCATCGCCGACTACAACTTCTAGCCCCCTTACTCTTTCAACTGTAACAGAGACTCCATCCGTTCCAACCGATGTAACGCATCCAACGACTGACACGCCCGTGGTAACAACTTCCCATCCATCGCCGACTACAACTTCTAGCCCCCTTACTCTTTCAACTGTAACAGAGACTCCATCCGTTCCAACCGATGTAACGCATCCAACGACTGACACGCCCGTGGTAACAACTTCCCATCCATCGCCGACTACAACTTCTAGCCCCGTTACTCTTTCAACTGTAACAGAGACTCCATCCGTTCCAACCGATGTAACGCATCCAACGACTGACACGCCCGTGACAACAACTTCCCATCCATCGCCGACTACAACTTCTAGTCCCATTACTCTTTCAACTGTAACGGAGACTCCATCCGTTCCAACCGATGTAACGCATCCAACGACTGAGACGCCCGTGGTAACAACTTCCCATCCATCGCCGACTACAACTTCTAGCCCCCTTACTCTTTCAACTGTAACGGAGACTCCATCCGTTCCAACCGATGTAACGCATCCAACGAGTGTACATCCTACTGAAACAACAACACCGAGCGTTAAAACCTTACCGCCCACTCCCACAACGCCTACGAAACCCAGCACAACGACAACTGAAACGCCCGTGACAACAACTTCCCATCCAACTACAACTTCTAGTCCCATTACTCTTTCAACTGTAACGGAGACTCCATCCGTTCCAACCGATGTAACGCATCCAACGACTGAGACGCCCGTGGTAACAACTTCCCATCCATCGCCGACTACAACTTCTAGCCCCCTTACTCTTTCAACTGTAACGGAGACTCCATCCGTTCCAACCGATGTAACGCATCCAACGACTGAAACGCCCGTGACAACAACTTCAAATCCATTGCCGACTACAACTTCTAGTCCCATTACTCTTACAACTGTAACGGAGACTCCATCCGTTCCAACCGATGTAACGCATCCAACGAGTGTACATCCTACTGAAACAACAACACCGAGCGTTAAAACCTTACCGCCCACTCCCACAACGCCTACGAAACCCAGCACAACGACAACTGAAACGCCCGTGACAACAACTTCCCATCCATCGCCGACTACAACTTCTAGTCCCATTACTCTTTCAACTGTAACAGAGACTCCATCCGTTCCAACCGATGTAACGCATCCAACGAGTGTACATCCTACTGAAACAACAACACCGAGCGTTAAAACCTTACCGCCCACTGCCACAACGCCTACGAAACCCAGCACAACGACGACTGAAACGCCCGTGACAACAACTTCAAATCCATTGCCAACGACAACTTCTAGTCCCATTACTCTTTCAACTGTAACGGAGACTCCATCCGTTCCAACCGATGTAACGCATCCAACGACTGAAACGCCCGTGACAACAACTTCAAATCCATTGCCGACTACAACTTCTAGTCCCATTACTCTTACAACTGTAACGGAGACTCCATCCGTTCCAACCGATGTAACGCATCCAACGAGTGTACATCCTACTGAAACAACAACACCGAGCGTTAAAACCTTACCGCCCACTGCCACGACGCCTACGAAACCCAGCACAACGACAACTGAAACGCCCGTGACAACAACTTCAAATCCATTGCCAACGACAACTTCTAGTCCCATTACTCTTTCAACTCTAACAGAGACTCCATCCGTTCCAACCGATGTAACGCATCCAACGACTGAAACGCCCGTGGTAACAACTTCCCATCCATCGCCGACTACAACTTCTAGCCCCCTTACTCTTTCAACTGTAACAGAGACTCCATCCGTTCCAACCGATGTAACGCATCCAACGACTGAAACGCCCGTGGTAACAACTTCCCATCCATCGCCGACTACAACTTCTAGTCCCATTACTCTTTCAACTGTAACGGAGACTCCATCCGTTCCAACCGATGTAACGCATCCAACGAGTGTACATCCTACTGAAACAACAACACCGAGCGTTAAAACCTTACCGCCCACTGCCACAACGCCTACGAAACCCAGCACAACTACAACTGAAACGCCCGTGACAACAACTTCAAATCCATTGCCAACGACAACTTCCAGTCCCATTACTCTTTCAACTGTAACGGAGACTCCATCCGTTCCAACCGATGTAACGCATCCAACGAGTGTACATCCTACTCAAACAACAACACCGAGCATTAAAACCTTGCCGCCCACTGCCTCTTCGCCTACGAAACCCAGCACATCTAGTAGTGTTAAGCCTGTTATAACAACTAAATCTGATTTACGTACGAAACCTCATACCACTACTGAATCAAATTCGACAGTTACCTCAGATGATTATTCTTCAACAACCCAAGTGACAATACCTTACTCTACTAGTAAAACAACAGAGTCTAAAACTGATACTACAAAAGATGTATATACAACAACAGAAGTTAGTTTATTACCTACTGTAAGAACATTACCAACAGAGAAAACCAAAAGGACTCTTCCTCCTTATGTAACAACTACCAACAATCCTTGTCATTTGAGTACTGAAAAACCAGTCAAACCTCAACTTCCCGAATGTGGTGTAGATGACAGATTTGTTTACCCAGACTTCGATGACTGCAATTTTTACTTCAATTGCTTTGGTGGCGTCATGAAGAGACTCAATTGTAAAGCTAACTTTGGATTTAGTCCTCACGTAATGGTAAGTGTATGTTTTTTTTTATTCCTATTTTTCTTTGTTCTATTTTTTTAAAGCCTTTATTTTTTTTTTCAGAGATGTCTCCCTATTGAGAAAGTTAACTGTAACTTATATAAATCAGCTTTAGAGCAGAGATTATATTCAATTAACTTCGTCCTCTTCAACGCTCTTTCGAAAGTAACGAATCTACAAACTAGGAAAAAAAATGATGAAGAATAAATTGTTATAATAACTCAAATGTATTATATATTGTATTTAAGAATATATGTATATATTTGATTTTAACTACTGCATAGCTTTTATTCTGGGGCTTTGAGAGCGGCGATCGAATCAAGATATTTCGTAACGAAAATAAACCTAACAACTAACGTTGAACGTAATTTCAGTTTGGCAGATTTCGGCACGGTGTTTGTATGTGTGCGACTTGATGTGTACATGTAGACCAACTGCTAACTGTTCATAACCGATTCTGTCTCTTTTAGACACAACTAGGTGAGAGTTTTTTCCATGACTCGTTGAACACTTAAGGTTTTTGTATATGGTGGTAAAGTTTAAATTGCTAAAAAATGCTGCACAAATAAAATAATTTCTGATTTACAAATCATTATAGATGACAATTTTTTATTTGAAATGTATAATTGTCATTCTGTAATCATTGAAGTGGCCATTGCCAACAGTGTTTGTTGGAACAGTGTCGCCAATATGCTTAATGTCTGCTAACTGAATATTGAAATGAAACTACGATTTTCGGATATACTACGCGACTGGCAGAAATCCCACAATCGTTGTTGATGTAAAGCAATAGAAATATCGGTTAGAATGTAAAATAAAATAATAAGAAGCGTAGCAAGTCCAAAAACACCAGTTTCATTTGGATATGTGTTCTCAAAAATCCTTTATTTATTGTATTTATTAATAAAAAATTTATTATGCACGAAGTCAAACTTTAATAAAATAAATTATGTAACTCAAGGGTGTTGGTTTCTTTTTAACAAATAGAAAAAGAAGAATCAATAACTAACGGTTGGTACTCTTCTTTTCCTTCACTTAACTGCTCCTGATTTATATACCCCGGATAGAGATAATAGTCGTAGATGAAAAACAAAGCAACAAACATAGAAGAATTTATAATACAAAAAAATAAGTTAATGTTCAATTAGGCAGATATATTTAAGCTAAATGATAAAACCCAACACGTCACCTTCCAAAACACATGACTTTAAGAAAAACTTTTAATACTTAAACCCTCAACGTCCAATATAATATTACAATTGAAAAGGGAGAACAAGAGAAAAAGAAAAGTACTCAAATGCTGGCAAAAAAATAAGCTAAACAATACTAAATTTAAAATGTTCATTGTCAAAACTCAACCAGAGTTTATCCTAGCTAGATTTTTCTTAACGCTTGTAGACTAAAGTCTTTTGAACCATTTCTTTGTATTTGATTGATTTTTATAAAGATCTGGGCCCCCAGGGAGACAGACTTATTTTTTTGACGGACAAAAATATATATTGCGTTGGTTTTAGTGCGTACAGTCAACGTAGACATACCTGCTAGCTTATACTTTTATACTTAGGACCAATTCTCAGGTACAGGTAAGTAAAAAACTGCACTTGCTTTATTTATAGTCGGAGGTCTAATTTTTGTTTATATTGTAGTAATTATTGTAAATAATTTCAAATGATACTGCCTCACATGTTCTGTGAACATATTTTTTTTGCCAGACACTTTAGTTATCGATAGTAAATAATCATAAAAATATTATAATTTTTACATTTCGCAATCGTTCGGGCAATATAATGATTATTATTAATCATAATTTTATTATTTAAGGTCCTTGGACCTTTCATTGGAAAAATCAAAAATAACTTAAATGAAACAGATGTTAAAAGGCACTTAGTTATATAAAATAAATAAATACGTAAAAAATAGTTTTTATACTTATTTATTTACGAAATCTCTCAATTAAATAAAGTTTTTACATATTTTATCTCTTTGTCTTATGAAAATAGTCATTTTCTATGATAATCTGAAAAGAATTTTGTGTATATATTATACATATATAAATAATTAGTGTTTTCACGTTTTGTTACGGTTTAATTCTAATTGTTATGGTGAAAATTCTATTATTTATTTTAAAAAATATGTTTAACTATACTACAAAATTAAAATATATGTATAACCGATTCGGTCATAAGTAGAAGCAAAAGGAATGAAAATAAAATCATAGGGTTTGAACGGGGAAGTAAAAAAAGACGAACTCAAATTTTTTCTCGATTTATTTCTGTTACTTAAAATTACCTTATTTTATTATGTATATTTGTTGAATAACATCAAATAACAAGATTTTATGAGTTTAATTAAAATGTCACAATAGATCCGCCATATTAATTTCACAATGAAAAAAAATAGTTACAATTTTTTTTTTACATAAAATTAAATTCACTTAAAACCTTGTTACTTACATAAATATATAAATAATACAGCCTTTGATATAATACTATTCGTTTTAATGAAACTTAAAAGAAATTATGATAATTTTTATTTAACCGTTAAATTTTGAAACCATGTCACGGAATTGCATTGCGTCGAGAGAAAAATCAAACTCGTATATAAAATGACAAAGCTTTATTATATATATAATAAATATGCATATTATTACTTTAGGACAATAATTATGGTTAATATTTATGAAAAATTAAGTTACATCATGTGTTATTTGTACTAAAAAGTCAATTGCTCTGGTTACATACATTCCGCCTGATTCTTTGCTAACTGGATGAAAATCACAAATCAATTTTTCCATATTGCCGTTGGTCTACATTTGTAACTTCTAGCAATTTTCAGGTTCCCAGAATTTTAGGATTTAGATGCAGTACATCCAGACGGAGATATTGGCACACAAGTCTGTAAGCAGAAATATAATTTTCTGTGACATCTTAAATCTATATTCAGCTACTAGAAAATACTAAGTTGTTCAAACTATTTGTTTAATTCATCATAGTTTTTGAACATAGTGTTAAAATTGATGTAGAAAATAAAGATTTGTTATAGCAAAGTAAGCTTACCTTAGAAATTGGATCAAATTCATAGTCGCGGATGCATCGTAACGATATGGGCCTACTTCCGTTGCAAATGTAATATCTATTACATGATTCAGGATCAGGAACGAACGTGCTACCACCCGCTGAGCAGGGACCTGGTGTCGGCGTCGTTTCAATTGCTTGTGTGGTTGTTGTCACATTGTCATTTGAATCGAACTCTGTTTCTTTCTTAGCACTGCATCCATTTGCACTAATTGGAACACACCCCTGAAAATATTATCATTCAATTAAATTGTTCAAAATAAACGTATTTTTTTCTTGTTTAATTGTGCTGTTACTTACTTGTGCTGTTGAATCAAATTCGTTGCCTTTTTCACAATATAAAGGAGGCAGGAGAACTCCGCCTGTACATATATAGAATTTGTCACATCTGTCAGGATCAGCAACCATACCAGAAAACCCTGGCGCGCATATGTTAGCCGTTCCATTGGTTTTGGATGTAGTTTTATCACTTTCCGTTGACCTTCCAGTTGTGACTTGAGGTCCTACTGTGCTCTTTGGTTCCATAGTGTATGTATCTGTCTGTGCATCTGTTGTTGGAGTTGTGCCTCGCTTTTGGTAACAACCGTTTGGACTTACTGGTTTACAACCCTGAAATAAAAAGAGTGAAAATGTGAATTACGTACACCATCTTTTTTACGTTACTTAGCAGATATTCGTAGTTAAACCTACATGTATGGATGGATCAAACTCTTCTCCAGGTCCGCAGTAGTTCGGAGGTAGAGGAATTCCGCCGGTACATATATAAAATTTATCACATCTTTCAGGATCACCAACTATTCCAGAAAATCCTGGAGGACATATACTGTTCGGACTTGTACCTTCTTTAACTGTAGTAGCAATTTCATCATTTCCCTTCTTATCTGTTGTTGTGGTACCATCACTTATAACTTGTGACGTTGTTGTTACGTCAGATGGATTTGTACTTTCAGTTTTGATTACATTAAATTCAGTTGATGTAAAATACTTGTCTCTATTTGCGTTACAACCATTTTCACTAATTACAACGCAACCCTGAAAAATATAAATAATATAGTTTACTAAAACTTTAAGTTAATTTTATTCAGATTGTTTTCATTGTATCACAAATAGTAATAATAAAAAACTCTAAAATTATATAGCTCATTTTGTTATATATAATCTTTATAATTTTGTTCATGCTTGTCACTTACTTGAGTCTTAGGATCAAATTCTTCGCCTGGTCCGCAATAATTAGGAGGAAGCGGAATTCCGCCCGTACAAATGTAAAATTTGTCACATCTTTCGGGATCAGCAACTATTCCGGAGTGACCGGGTGGACATATGGTGCGTGGTGTAGTTTCTACATTAACAGTGGTCGTTTTCTCACTCTCTTCGCCATCCGAGCTACTACTATCAGTTGTTACTTCATTTGTAGTTGTATTATCGGGTACACTTGATTCCTCATTTGTTGTGGTTGCTGAACTTCCATCTTCAGATGTAACAGAAGTGAAGTCAGTTGTGGGTTCTTTTGTCGTAGAGGAAACTCTCCTTCTGGCATTACATCCATTTTCGCTTATTCGTACACAACCCTGAAAAACGTAAACTTTGTAATTAAGGACTCAATAACAACTAAATCTATCAACCTAGATCATATATCTCATATTTTTCGACTATCCCAAATGTAAACCTGATAATTTCTATTACATACTTGCATGTCAGGATCAAACTCTTCACCAGGTCCACAGTATAGTGGTGGTAAAGGAACTCCGCCGCTACAAATATAAAATTTATCACATCGTTCCGGGTCAGCTATTAGCCCTGAATAACCAGGCGGACAAATGATAATTGTAGTTGTTTCTATAACTTGAGTAGTAGTAGGTTTAATGTTATGAGTTGTCTGCTCAGCTTCTGTCGTGGTAGTAGTGTCTTTTGATGAATAGCAACCATCCATAGATATTGGAACACATTCCTGAAAGTGATAAATAAAATTTTAATCACATCAGTCATTTGGCTACAATGTAGATTACAATGTATTTTTTCGAAAACAAATTTGTTACTTAGTCTCAAAATATGAAATAAGCTGAAAAAAAATACATACTTGAGAATTTGGATCAAATTCTTTTCCTGATGGGCAAAGACCTATTAAGGCTTCTCCGGCAGAACAATTAATGAATTTGTTGCAATAAATAGGATGCGGTAATAATCCAGTGAAGCCAGGCTCACAAGTAATTATTGTCGTTGTTTCTATTGGATCAATAGTCACATCATTTATTGTAGTTTTAGATGATGCGGATGATGTTTCCTCCTCTTTGGGTGTTTCAGTATAATGTGTTGTTGTTTCAGTTGAAGTAGTCTTGTTTTGATTGGCGAAACAACCGTTTTCAGATATAGTCACACACCTCTGAAAAAATATATAAAAATAAGACCATACAATTTATAATTATGTTGTAATTGATCATAAATCCTAAACATTATAGATAAAGAAGGAGTCTTCGTGATTTTCAAGTGCTTTTCTTACATAAATAGAATACATATTATTTTGATTTCATTAATAAAATAAAATAAACACGTATGACAAGTAAGATGAATAGAACAAAAATATTAAAAAAATGTCATTCTATCAAAATTAAATGAATCCAAAAATCTCACTCCCTTGCAACATTACCAATCGATTTAATTATTCATTTACATTCATTTTTTGTTTGTCATAATTAATGAAAAAGAAAATTATACATATTATTATTCTATGTTCAAAACCCTTTTTACCTTAGTTTCTGGATCAAACTCTAGCCCCGTGCGACATCGCACTAACGTAGCTTGTCCCCTTACACACACATAGTATCTATCACAAATTTCAGGATGGGGAATTTGTCCAATGAAATTTGGTGGACATATAACTGGTTGTATATTGTCTTCAGTACTAGATGGTCCTGGAGTTGTACTCGAACTATTGTCATCAATAGTAGTAGTAGATGTACTAGAAGGGTCTTGAGTCGTAGTAGAATCATTGTCATCATTATTAGTAGATGTACTAGATGGGTCTGAAGTCGTAGTAGAATCATTGTCATCAGTAGTAGTAGATGTACTAGATGGGTCTTGAGTCGTAGTAGAATCATTGTCATCATTATTGGGAGATGTACTAGATGGGTCTTGAGTTGTAGTAGAACCATTATCATCAGTATAAGTAGATGTACTAGATGGATCTTGAGTTGTAATGGAATCATTGTCATCAGTAGTAGTAGATGTACTAGATGGGTCTTGAGTCGTAGTAGAATCATTGTCATCATTATTAGGAGATGTACTAGATGGGTATTGAGTTGTAGAAGAACCATTATCATCAGTATTAGTAGATGTACTAGATGGGTCTTGAGTTGTAATGGAATCATTGTCATCAGTGGTAGTAGATGTACTAGATGGGTCTTGAGTCGTAGTAGAATCATTGTCATCATTATTGGGAGATGTACTAGATGGGTCTTGAGTTGTAGTAGAACCATTATCATCAGTATTAGTAGATGTACTAGATGGGTCTTGAGTTGTAATGGAATCATTGTCATCAGTAGTAGTAGATGTACTAGATGGGTCTTGAGTCGTAGTAGAATCATTGTCATCATTATTGGGAGATGTACTAGATGGGTCTTGTGTTGTAGTAGAACCATTGTCTTCAGTAGAAGTCGTTTCTGAGTTATCAGTCGTAACATCAGTGGAGCGGGGAGAGGAATCTGTTGTTGTCGATATATCCTTTTCAGTTATGTCACTTATGGTTGTTGCATCTTCTTCTGTCGTTTTTATTGTCCTATCAGTATTTTCGTCAGAAGTAACTTGTTCCGTTGTTACAGACGGGGTAGGTACAGTAGTGAAATCACTAAATGTGGATTCATAATCAAACGTCGTTGACACCTGATCGTTCGGGGTCGATTTGTTCTTATTCGCAAAGCAGCCATTTTCTGATATTGGTACGCAATTCTGAAAGATATGTAATCAAGTTATAATTTAATTAAATTCAATAAACAAAACACACATAATTAAGACATAAATAACTTTTGATGAATCGAAGGACAAAAGCTGATAAGGTAGTCCTACGGTGGACTTTAATGATTGAAAAATCTCAGCATTAAACTTTAAAATTAACGAAAACAATAACAAGAAAAACAGTTCATACCTTCACAATTGGATCAAATTCAAAACCATTTATGCAACGCATCAATCTCGGTATTCCAGCAATGCAGACGTAATACGAGTCGCAGTCATCCGGGTGAGGTATTTGGTCGATTACACCTGGAGGACAAATTATTTGTCTTTCGGTAGTAGTAGACGTGACTGTAGTTGTTTCATTTGATACGGTAGTTGGATCTTCAGTGACTATTTCAGTTGTGGAAGTTGTTGGAGCATAAGTTTTCTCCTCAGTGGTTGAGGTCGAAGGCTCTTCGGTCACATTCTCAGTAGTTGAACTTGTTGGGGCCTCAGTTACCTCCTCAGTGGTTGATGTTGAAGGATCATCAGTCACGATCTCAGTAGTTGAACTTGTAGGGGCCTCAGTTACCTCCTCAGTGGTTGATGTTGAAGGATCATCGGTCACGATCTCAGTAGTTGAACTTGTAGGGGCCTCAGTTACCTCCTCAGTGGTTGATGTTGAAGGATCTTCGGTCACGATCTCAGTAGTTGAAGTTGTAGGGGCCTCAGTTACTCTCTCAGTGGTTGATGTTGAAGGATCTTCGGTCACGATCTCAGTAGTTGAACTTGTAGGGGCCTCAGTTACCTCCTCAGTGGATGATGTTGAAGGATCTTCGGTCACGATCTCAGTAGTTGAACTTGTAGGGGCCTCAGTTACCTCCTCAGTGGTTGATGTTGAAGGATCTTCGGTCACGATCTCAGTAGTTGAACTTGTAGGGGCCTCAGTTACTCTCTCAGTGGTTGATGTTGAAGGATCTTCGGTCACGATCTCAGTAGTTGAACTTGTAGGGGCCTCAGTTACCTCCTCAGTGGATGATGTTGAAGGATCTTCGGTCACGATCTCAGTAGTTGAACTTGTAGGGGCCTCAGTTACCTCCTCAGTGGTTGATGTTGAAGGATCTTCGGTCACGATCTCAGTAGTTGAACTTGTAGGGGCCTCAGTTACTCTCTCAGTGGTTGATGTTGAAGGATCTTCGGTCACGATCTCAGTGGTTGAACTTGTAGGGGCCTCAGTTACCTCCTCAGTGGTTGATGTTGAAGGATCTTCGGTCACGATCTCAGTGGTTGAACTTGTAGGGGCCTCAGTTACCTCCTCAGTGGTTGATGTTGAAGGATCTTCGGTCACGATCTCAGTAGTTGAAGTTGTAGGGGCCTCAGTTACTCTCTCAGTGGTTGATGTTGAAGGATCTTCGGTCACGATCTCAGTGGTTGAACTTGTAGGGGCCTCAGTTACTCTCTCAGTGGTTGATGTTGAAGGATCTTCGGTCACGATCTCAGTGGTTGAACTTGTAGGGGCCTCAGTTACCTCCTCAGTGGTTGATGTTGAAGGATCTTCGGTCACGATCTCAGTAGTTGAAGTTGTAGGGGCCTCAGTTACTCTCTCAGTGGTTGATGTTGAAGGATCTTCGGTCACGATCTCAGTGGTTGAACTTGTAGGGGCCTCAGTTACCTCCTCAGTGGTTGATGTTGAAGGATCTTCGGTCACGATCTCAGTGGTTGAACTTGTAGGGGTCTCAGTTACCTCCTCAGTGGTTGATGTTGAAGGATCTTCGGTCACGATCTCAGTGGTTGAACTTGTAGGGGCCTCAGTTACCTCCTCAGTGGTTGATGTTGAAGGATCTTCGGTCACGATCTCAGTGGTTGAACTTGTAGGGGTCTCAGTTACCTCCTCAGTGGTTGATGTTGAAGGATCTTCGGTCACGATCTCAGTGGTTGAACTTGTAGGGGCCTCAGTTACCTCCTCAGTGGTTGATGTTGAAGGATCTTCGGTCACGATCTCAGTGGTTGAACTTGTAGGGGCCTCAGTTACCTCCTCAGTGGTTGATGTTGAAGGATCTTCGGTCACGATCTCAGTGGTTGAACTTGTAGGGGCCTCAGTTACCTCCTCAGTGGTTGATGTTGAAGGATCTTCGGTCACGATCTCAGTGGTTGAACTTGTAGGGGCCTCAGTTACTCTCTCAGTGGTTGATGTTGAAGGATCTTCGGTCACGATCTCAGTGGTTGAACTTGTAGGGGCCTCAGTTACCTCCTCAGTGGTTGATGTTGAAGGATCTTCGGTCACGATCTCAGTGGTTGAACTTGTAGGGGCCTCAGTTACCTCCTCAGTGGTTGATGTTGAAGGATCTTCGGTCACGATCTCAGTGGTTGAACTTGTAGGGGCCTCAGTTACCTCCTCAGTGGTTGATGTTGAAGGATCTTCGGTCACGATCTCAGTGGTTGAACTTGTAGGGGCCTCAGTTACTCTCTCAGTGGTTGATGTTGAAGGATCTTCGGTCACGATCTCAGTGGTTGAACTTGTAGGGGCCTCAGTTACCTCCTCAGTGGTTGATGTTGAAGGATCTTCGGTCACGATCTCAGTGGTTGAACTTGTAGGGCCCTCAGTTACCTCCTCAGTGGTTGTTGTTGAAGGATCTTCGGTCACGATCTCAGTGGTTGAACTTGTAGGGGCCTCAGTTACCCTTTCAGTGGTTGATGTAGAATGATCGTCTGTCACATTCTCAGTAGTTGAACTTGTAGGGGCCTCAGTTACCTCCTCAGTGGTTGTTGTTGAAGGATCTTCGGTCACGATCTCAGTGGTTGAACTTGTAGGGGCCTCAGTTACCCTTTCAGTGGTTGATGTAGAAGGATCGTCTGTCACATTCTCAGTAGTTGAACTTGTAGGGGCCTCAGTTACCTCCTCAGTGGTTGTTGTTGAAGGATCTTCGGTCACGATCTCAGTGGTTGAACTTGTAGGGGCCTCAGTTACCCTTTCAGTGGTTGATGCAGAAGGATCGTCTGTCACATTCTCAGTAGTTGAACTTGTAGGGGCCTCAGTTACCTCCTCAGTGGTTGTTGTTGAAGGATCTTCGGTCACGATCTCAGTGGTTGAACTTGTAGGGGCCTCAGTTACCCTTTCAGTGGTTGATGTAGAAGGATCGTCTGTCACATTCTCAGTAGTTGAACTTGTAGGGGCCTCAGTTACCTCCTCAGTGGTTGTTGTTGAAGGATCTTCGGTCACGATCTCAGTGGTTGAACTTGTAGGGGCCTCAGTTACCCTTACAGTGGTTGATGTAGAAGGATCGTCTGTCACATTCTCAGTAGTTGAACTTGTAGGGGCCTCAGTTACCTCCTCAGTGGTTGTTGTTGAAGGATCTTCGGTCACGATCTCAGTGGTTGAACTTGTAGGGGCCTCAGTTACCCTTTCAGTGGTTGATGTAGAAGGATCGTCTGTCACATTCTCAGTAGTTGAACTTGTAGGGGCCTCAGTTACCTCCTCAGTGGTTGTTGTTGAAGGATCTTCGGTCACGATCTCAGTGGTTGAACTTGTAGGGGCCTCAGTTACCTCCTCAGTGGTTGATGTTGAAGGATCTTCGGTCACGATCTCAGTGGTTGAACTTGTAGGGGCCTCAGTTACCCTTTCAGTGGTTGATGTAGAAGGATCGTCTGTCACATTCTCAGTAGTTGAACTTGTAGGGGCCTCAGTTACTCTCTCAGTGGTTGATGTTGAAGGATCTTCGGTCACGATCTCAGTGGTTGAACTTGTAGGGGCCTCAGTTACCCTTTCAGTGGTTGATGTAGAAGGATCGTCTGTCACATTCTCAGTAGTTGAACTTGTAGGGGCCTCAGTTACCTCCTCAGTGGTTGATGTTGAAGGATCATCGGTCACGATCTCAGTAGTTGAACTTGTAGGGGTCTCAGTTACCTCCTCAGTGGTTGATGTTGAAGGATCTTCGGTCACGATCTCAGTGGTTGAACTTGTAGGGGCCTCAGTTACCCTTTCAGTGGTTGATGTAGAAGGATCGTCTGTCACATTCTCAGTAGTTGAACTTGTAGGGGCCTCAGTTACCTCCTCAGTGGTTGTTGTTGAAGGATCTTCGGTCACGATCTCAGTGGTTGAACTTGTAGGGGCCTCAGTTACCTCCTCAGTGGTTGATGTTGAAGGATCTTCGGTCACGATCTCAGTGGTTGAACTTGTAGGGGCCTCAGTTACCCTTTCAGTGGTTGATGTAGAAGGATCGTCTGTCACATTCTCAGTAGTTGAACTTGTAGGGGCCTCAGTTACTCTCTCAGTGGTTGATGTTGAAGGATCTTCGGTCACGATCTCAGTGGTTGAACTTGTAGGGGCCTCAGTTACCCTTTCAGTGGTTGATGTAGAAGGATCGTCTGTCACATTCTCAGTAGTTGAACTTGTAGGGGCCTCAGTTACCTCCTCAGTGGTTGATGTTGAAGGATCATCGGTCACGATCTCAGTAGTTGAACTTGTAGGGGCCTCAGTTACCCTTTCAGTGGTTGATGTAGAAGGATCGTCTGTCACATTCTCAGTAGTTGAACTTGTAGGGGCCTCAGTTACCTCCTCAGTGGTTGATGTTGAAGGATCATCGGTCACGATCTCAGTAGTTGAACTTGTAGGGGCCTCAGTTACCCTTTCAGTGGTTGATGTAGAAGGATCGTCTGTCACATTCTCAGTAGTTGAACTTGTAGGGGTCTCAGTTACCTCCTCAGTGGTTGATGTTGAAGGATCTTCGGTCACGATCTCAGTGGTTGAACTTGTAGCGGCCTCAGTTACCTCCTCAGTGGTTGATGTTGAAGGATCATCGGTCACGATCTCAGTAGTTGAACTTGTAGGGGCCTCAGTTACCTCCTCAGTGGTTGATGTTGAAGGATCATCGGTCACGATCTCAGTAGTTGAACTTGTAGGGGCCTCAGTTACCTCCTCAGTGGTTGATGTTGAAGGATCATCGGTCACGATCTCAGTAGTTGAACTTGTAGGGGCCTCAGTTACTCTCTCAGTGGTTGATGTTGAAGGATCATCGGTCACGATCTCAGTAGTTGAACTTGTAGGGGCCTCAGTTACCTCCTCAGTGGTTGATGTTGAAGGATCATCGGTCACGATCTCAGTAGTTGAACTTGTAGGGGCCTCAGTTACCTCCTCAGTGGTTGATGTTGAAGGATCATCGGTCACGATCTCAGTAGTTGAACTTGTAGGGGCCTCAGTTACTCTCTCAGTGGTTGATGTTGAAGGATCATCGGTCACGATCTCAATAGTTGAACTTGTAGGGGCCTCAGTTACCTCCTCAGTGGTTGATGTTGAAGGATCATCGGTCACGATCTCAGTAGTTGAACTTGTAGGGGCCTCAGTTACCTCCTCAGTGGTTGATGTTGAAGGATCATCGGTCACGATCTCAGTAGTTGAACTTGTAGGGGCCTCAGTTACTCTCTCAGTGGTTGATGTTGAAGGATCATCGGTCACGATCTCAGTAGTTGAACTTGTAGGGGCCTCAGTTACCTCCTCAGTGGTTGATGTTGAAGGATCTTCGGTCACGATCTCAGTGGTTGAACTTGTAGGGGCCTCAGTTACCTCCTCAGTGGTTGATGTTGAAGGATCATCGGTCACGATCTCAGTAGTTGAACTTGTAGGGGCCTCAGTTACCTCCTCAGTGGTTGATGTTGAAGGATCATCGGTCACGATCTCAGTAGTTGAACTTGTAGGGGCCTCAGTTACTCTCTCAGTGGTTGATGTTGAAGGATCATCGGTCACGATCTCAGTAGTTGAACTTGTAGGGGCCTCAGTTACCTCCTCAGTGGTTGATGTTGAAGGATCATCGGTCACGATCTCAGTAGTTGAACTTGTAGGGGCCTCAGTTACTCTCTCAGTGGTTGATGTTGAAGGATCATCGGTCACGATCTCAGTAGTTGAACTTGTAGGGGCCTCAGTTACCTCCTCAGTGGTTGATGTTGAAGGATCATCGGTCACGATCTCAGTAGTTGAACTTGTAGGGGCCTCAGTTACCTCCTCAGTGGTTGATGTTGAAGGATCATCGGTCACGATCTCAGTAGTTGAACTTGTAGGGGCCTCAGTTACCTCCTCAGTGGTTGATGTTGAAGGATCATCGGTCACGATCTCAGTAGTTGAACTTGTAGGGGCCTCAGTTACTCTCTCAGTGGTTGATGTTGAAGGATCATCGGTCACGATCTCAGTAGTTGAACTTGTAGGGGCCTCAGTTACCTCCTCAGTGGTTGATGTTGAAGGATCATCGGTCACGATCTCAGTAGTTGAACTTGTAGGGGCCTCAGTTACTCTCTCAGTGGTTGATGTTGAAGGATCATCGGTCACGATCTCAGTAGTTGAACTTGTAGGGGCCTCAGTTACCTCCTCAGTGGTTGATGTTGAAGGATCATCGGTCACGATCTCAGTAGTTGAACTTGTAGGGGCCTCAGTTACCTCCTCAGTGGTTGATGTTGAAGGATCATCGGTCACGATCTCAGTAGTTGAACTTGTAGGGGCCTCAGTTACCTCCTCAGTGGTTGATGTTGAAGGATCATCGGTCACGATCTCAGTAGTTGAACTTGTAGGGGCCTCAGTTACCTCCTCAGTGGTTGATGTTGAAGGATCTTCGGTCACGATCTCAGTAGTTGAACTTGTAGGGGCCTCAGTTACTCTCTCAGTGGTTGATGTTGAAGGATCATCGGTCACGATCTCAGTAGTTGAACTTGTAGGGGCCTCAGTTACCTCCTCAGTGGTTGATGTTGAAGGATCATCGGTCACGATCTCAGTAGTTGAACTTGTAGGGGCCTCAGTTACCTCCTCAGTGGTTGATGTTGAAGGATCATCGGTCACGATCTCAGTAGTTGAACTTGTAGGGGCCTCAGTTACCTCCTCAGTGGTTGATGTTGAAGGATCATCGGTCACGATCTCAGTAGTTGAAGTTGTAGGGGCCTCAGTTACCTCCTCAGTGGTTGATGTTGAAGGATCATCGGTCACGATCTCAGTAGTTGAACTTGTAGGGGCCTCAGTTACTCTCTCAGTGGTTGATGTTGAAGGATCATCGGTCACGATCTCAATAGTTGAACTTGTAGGGGCCTCAGTTACCTCCTCAGTGGTTGATGTTGAAGGATCATCGGTCACGATCTCAGTAGTTGAACTTGTAGGGGCCTCAGTTACCTCCTCAGTGGTTGATGTTGAAGGATCATCGGTCACGATCTCAGTAGTTGAACTTGTAGGGGCCTCAGTTACCTCCTCAGTGGTTGATGTTGAAGGATCTTCGGTCACGATCTCAGTAGTTGAACTTGTAGGGGCCTCAGTTACCTCCTCAGTGGTTGATGTTGAAGGATCTTCGGTCACGATCTCAGTGGTTGAACTTGTAGGGGCCTCAGTTACCTCCTCAGTGGTTGATGTTGAAGGATCATCGGTCACGATCTCAGTAGTTGAACTTGTAGGGGCCTCAGTTACCTCCTCAGTGGTTGATGTTGAAGGATCTTCGGTCACGATCTCAGTGGTTGAACTTGTAGGGGCCTCAGTTACTCTCTCAGTGGTTGATGTTGAAGGATCATCGGTCACGATCTCAGTAGTTGAACTTGTAGGGGCCTCAGTTACCTCCTCAGTGGTTGATGTTGAAGGATCATCGGTCACGATCTCAGTAGTTGAACTTGTTGGGGCCTCAGTTACCTCCTCAGTGGTTGATGTTGAAGGATCATCGGTCACGATCTCAGTAGTTGAACTTGTAGGGGCCTCAGTTACCTCCTCAGTGGTTGATGTTGAAGGATCATCGGTCACGATCTCAGTAGTTGAACTTGTAGGGGCCTCAGTTACTCTCTCAGTGGTTGATGTTGAAGGATCATCGGTCACGATCTCAGTAGTTGAACTTGTAGGGGCCTCAGTTACCTCCTCAGTGGTTGATGTTGAAGGATCTTCGGTCACGATCTCAGTGGTTGAACTTGTAGGGGCCTCAGTTACCTCCTCAGTGGTTGATGTTGAAGGATCATCGGTCACGATCTCAGTAGTTGAACTTGTAGGGGCCTCAGTTACCTCCTCAGTGGTTGATGTTGAAGGATCATCGGTCACGATCTCAGTAGTTGAACTTGTAGGGGCCTCAGTTACCTCCTCAGTGGTTGATGTTGAAGGATCATCGGTCACGATCTCAGTAGTTGAACTTGTAGGGGCCTCAGTTACTCTCTCAGTGGTTGATGTTGAAGGATCATCGGTCACGATCTCAGTAGTTGAACTTGTAGGGGCCTCAGTTACCTCCTCAGTGGTTGATGTTGAAGGATCATCGGTCACGATCTCAGTAGTTGAACTTGTAGGGGCCTCAGTTACCTCCTCAGTGGTTGATGTTGAAGGATCATCGGTCACGATCTCAGTAGTTGAACTTGTAGGGGCCTCAGTTACCTCCTCAGTGGTTGATGTTGAAGGATCATCGGTCACGATCTCAGTAGTTGAACTTGTAGGGGCCTCAGTTACTCTCTCAGTGGTTGATGTTGAAGGATCATCGGTCACGATCTCAGTAGTTGAACTTGTAGGGGCCTCAGTTACCTCCTCAGTGGTTGATGTTGAAGGATCATCGGTCACGATCTCAGTAGTTGAACTTGTAGGGGCCTCAGTTACCTCCTCAGTGGTTGATGTTGAAGGATCATCGGTCACGATCTCAGTAGTTGAACTTGTAGGGGCCTCAGTTACCTCCTCAGTGGTTGATGTTGAAGGATCATCGGTCACGATCTCAGTAGTTGAACTTGTAGGGGCCTCAGTTACCTCCTCAGTGGTTGATGTTGAAGGATCATCGGTCACGATCTCAGTAGTTGAACTTGTAGGGGCCTCAGTTACCTCCTCAGTGGTTGATGTTGAAGGATCATCGGTCACGATCTCAGTAGTTGAACTTGTAGGGGCCTCAGTTACCTCCTCAGTGGTTGATGTTGAAGGATCATCGGTCACGATCTCAGTAGTTGAACTTGTAGGGGCCTCAGTTACTCTCTCAGTGGTTGATGTTGAAGGATCATCGGTCACGATCTCAGTAGTTGAACTTGTAGGGGCCTCAGTTACCTCCTCAGTGGTTGATGTTGAAGGATCATCGGTCACGATCTCAGTAGTTGAACTTGTAGGGGCCTCAGTTACCTCCTCAGTGGTTGATGTTGAAGGATCATCGGTCACGATCTCAGTAGTTGAACTTGTAGGGGCCTCAGTTACCTCCTCAGTGGTTGATGTTGAAGGATCATCGGTCACGATCTCAGTAGTTGAACTTGTAGGGGCCTCAGTTACCTCCTCAGTGGTTGATGTTGAAGGATCATCGGTCACGATCTCAGTAGTTGAACTTGTAGGGGCCTCAGTTACCTCCTCAGTGGTTGATGTTGAAGGATCATCGGTCACGATCTCAGTAGTTGAACTTGTAGGGGCCTCAGTTACTCTCTCAGTGGTTGATGTTGAAGGATCATCGGTCACGATCTCAGTAGTTGAACTTGTAGGGGCCTCAGTTACCTCCTCAGTGGTTGATGTTGAAGGATCATCGGTCACGATCTCAGTAGTTGAACTTGTAGGGGCCTCAGTTACCTCCTCAGTGGTTGATGTTGAAGGATCATCGGTCACGATCTCAGTAGTTGAACTTGTAGGGGCCTCAGTTACCTCCTCAGTGGTTGATGTTGAAGGATCATCGGTCACGATCTCAGTAGTTGAACTTGTAGGGGCCTCAGTTACTCTCTCAGTGGTTGATGTTGAAGGATCATCGGTCACGATCTCAGTAGTTGAACTTGTAGGGGCCTCAGTTACCTCCTCAGTGGTTGATGTTGAAGGATCATCGGTCACGATCTCAGTAGTTGAACTTGTAGGGGCCTCAGTTACTCTCTCAGTGGTTGATGTTGAAGGATCATCGGTCACGATCTCAGTAGTTGAACTTGTAGGGGCCTCAGTTACTCTCTCAGTGGTTGATGTTGAAGGATCATCGGTCACGATCTCAGTAGTTGAACTTGTAGGGGCCTCAGTTACCTCCTCAGTGGTTGATGTTGAAGGATCATCGGTCACGATCTCAGTAGTTGAACTTGTAGGGGCCTCAGTTACTCTCTCAGTGGTTGATGTTGAAGGATCATCGGTCACGATCTCAGTAGTTGAACTTGTAGGGGCCTCAGTTACCTCCTCAGTGGTTGATGTTGAAGGATCATCGGTCACGATCTCAGTAGTTGAACTTGTAGGGGCCTCAGTTACCTCCTCAGTGGTTGATGTTGAAGGATCATCGGTCACGATCTCAGTAGTTGAACTTGTAGGGGCCTCAGTTACCTCCTCAGTGGTTGATGTTGAAGGATCATCGGTCACGATCTCAGTGGTTGAACTTGTAGGGGCCTCAGTTACCTCCTCAGTGGTTGATGTTGAAGGATCATCGGTCACGATCTCAGTAGTTGAACTTGTAGGGGCCTCAGTTACCTCCTCAGTGGTTGATGTTGAAGGATCATCGGTCACGATCTCAGTAGTTGAACTTGTAGGGGCCTCAGTTACCTCCTCAGTGGTTGATGTTGAAGGATCATCGGTCACGATCTCAGTAGTTGAACTTGTAGGGGCCTCAGTTACCTCCTCAGTGGTTGATGTTGAAGGATCATCGGTCACGATCTCAGTAGTTGAACTTGTAGGGGCCTCAGTTACCTCCTCAGTGGTTGATGTTGAAGGATCATCGGTCACGATCTCAGTAGTTGAACTTGTAGGGGCCTCAGTTACCTCCTCAGTGGTTGATGTTGAAGGATCTTCGGTCACGATCTCAGTAGTTGAACTTGTAGGGGCCTCAGTTACCTCCTCAGTGGTTGATGTTGAAGGATCATCGGTCACGATCTCAGTAGTTGAACTTGTAGGGGCCTCAGTTACCTCCTCAGTGGTTGATGTTGAAGGATCTTCGGTCACGATCTCAGTAGTTGAACTTGTAGGGGCCTCAGTTACCTCCTCAGTGGTTGATGTTGAAGGATCATCGGTCACGATCTCAGTAGTTGAACTTGTAGGGGCCTCAGTTACCTCCTCAGTGGTTGATGTTGAAGGATCATCGGTCACGATCTCAGTAGTTGAACTTGTAGGGGCCTCAGTTACCTCCTCAGTGGTTGATGTTGAAGGATCTTCGGTCACGATCTCAGTAGTTGAACTTGTAGGGGCCTCAGTTACCTCCTCAGTGGTTGATGTTGAAGGATCATCGGTCACGATCTCAGTAGTTGAACTTGTAGGGGCCTCAGTTACCTCCTCAGTGGTTGATGTTGAAGGATCTTCGGTCACGATCTCAGTAGTTGAACTTGTAGGGGCCTCAGTTACCTCCTCAGTGGTTGATGTTGAAGGATCTTCGGTCACGATCTCAGTAGTTGAACTTGTAGGGGCCTCAGTTACCTCCTCAGTGGTTGATGTTGAAGGATCATCGGTCACGATCTCAGTAGTTGAACTTGTAGGGGCCTCAGTTACCTCCTCAGTGGTTGATGTTGAAGGATCTTCGGTCACGATCTCAGTAGTTGAACTTGTAGGGGCCTCAGTTACCTCCTCAGTGGTTGATGTTGAAAGATCTTCGGTCACGATCTCAGTAGTTGAAGTTGTTTGTAACTCAGTTGTTCTCTCTGTGGTTTTTGTTGTCGAATCATCGGTTACTTTCGTAGTTTCAGTAGTTAGAGGAGACGTTGATGTTGTGGACTTTGGTGATGCCGTACATTTAACCATGTACTTATGGTTACACACCTTGATGTGAACGAAATTTGTGATATAATATTTTCTTTTAGTTATCTTATAATTATAATAATATGATTATTTTTATGACCTCTTACCTGTATTTTAAAATCAAAGTATGTACCGGGTGCGCAGCTTCTTTCTTCTTTTTTGCCGAAAACGCAATAATAGAATTTAGAACAATCTTCTTCGTGTGGTAGAAGCCAGTGGACGGAAAAATTTGATGGACAACCGTTTTCCAACCACTCTCCTTTGTCATCATTTGCGAGGCAACCAGCTTTATCAGGGTAATCGCAAACCTTGAAGTTTTTTGTAAAATTAATCACACATTTTCAACATTTTTAAACCTTTGTTATTTATTATTAACTATATCTTTAATAAGAACTTGCCACATTTATTTTAGTAATTGTTTTTATCGATAACTACAATTATATTTACAGACGCGCTCGTTTTCTGTCCAATACCTGTAGTATGGGGTTGAAGTGTAAAGTTGGAGGGCAGTTCTTTTCCACTTTAATACCGAAACTGCATTGATAAAACTTGTTGCAGTCTTCCTCATGAGGCAGTTTCTTATTCACATGAAACTCAGCGGGGCATCCATTAGGAAGGAGTCGATCTTGGGTACAGTTCACATTTTCTGACCAGTTACAGTCCTTTAATAAACAGAAAAAAATCATTAATATTTCAGTGACGTCATAATATTTGATAATATTGATCAGCAATATTTAACTTCTTAAACTGCTTTAAACTTTAGCACTTTTGTAAATGTTTTTTTAAATAATTATATCATATTTTATTTACTAAGAAAGTTCTCAGCCCAATAGAAACAGCAAAATCGGAAAAATATTGATATTAATAATTATGTTGATTTAAATATAAACTTTATCTTTATCTGAGTGCTAGACTCAAGTCTATTATTCGTTATTATATAATATTATAATTTACAAAAGCTTCTGAAATATTAAACTGCAAAGAATGCTTATGAAATGTCTACTCCAATGTATGTATCTAGATTTCCTAAGAAAACTAAAACTTGTGAATCAGTGTCTTTAAACTTTTCATTTAAGTACTTCTTGCCATAAGAATACGTATTTTTTTTTGTCAAAAAGGAATTAACTGATTCTCTAAGCTCTAAGAAATCTTTCTATAATCGATTTAAAAGATACTTTGTTTTTTTTTTATCTTGGCTACTTCATGATATACTATCCTACGTGATGGAATGTCTGTCGAGATTCTGAATATTTTGTTAATTTTTGACACCAATAACACCAACGTGTTCTTATTCTGGTAAATAATAGCAAATGCTCTAACCTTTTTTTTCCTAAATTCGACCAGATTTATTTAAAACATTTTCTAAATAATCATTGCGAAATTTGTTAAATCAAATAAAAATTGTATGTTTACAAAATTTACTTGAACTATTGGAAGAAAAGGTAATAATCTTTTGTATATAAACTGTATTTATTAAATATTTCGTCCAAATTAACTTATAAACTACCAAACACGTAAAGACCAAAATATTAGGCCCGCTGACAAAGGAAAAGTTGCCTGTAGTCCATGATATAAAAGTTGCAGAAATCTTCTCTATTTCTTTTATTCTAAAACTATTGGATATTTTTCAATGTAATTACACCTAAAAAGAGTACTCTTTTTACAGAAAGTAATTATTTTCTTTGGATACTAAACATTACAATATCTACGAGTAGTTTTACGGACTTGCTAGCCATATATTAAAGAACTGTGTTTTTCAACTTTCTAAATACTTCTTGTCTCTCAGCAACGATAGTGACATGTCATCTCAAATGTTATTAGCTTATAGTATTCTTTAGAATTATCCATACAAACATTAAATATTATATGTAAATCTTTCTCCAAAAAAAAACCTATTTCCATTTTATCTTTTCCATTTTCATTTCTATTTTTATCTACAATAGATTTATCTTGTAATTAGTTCGTATTTTATCGTTGCCTGTTTTGATAAACTGTTACCACCAGTATTTTCACCACGATTTTCCAATATTACTATTCTCAATTTTCCATTCATAAGTGGTTTTGACAATGGTATAATAAACTCAAGATTATCGGTTTGAACAAAAAAAACTAGTGGCAAATTCAAATGACTAATATAATTTATTCCAAACTTTGGACGAGATATCACCGCATTTAATTACATACATAATTGATAAATTCTGTGATTATACAAAAAATATATTAAAGCATACCTAAGTTAGATTACATCTACAGCCGATGCGGTGTCTTTATATGATAAATACGATAGAAAAATTATCTTCAAATCAAATATCGCTTAGATCCAAAAAACTCTGTGATAACACTATCATTTCCCGGTAAAAAGTTATACGATTAAATGAGACTAATATTTTCAGATTTACTACGCGATTTTTTATTTTTGACTATAAACTATATACTCCAGACTTTTTAGCTACTTTACAGCAACCGTGACCACGGGCAGACGAGATGTACTCGCGAAAATCTTAGATCTCAGTTACACGATTAATTATAAGGCGAAAGGTAATAAAAATTGTAAGTTCCATTGATATTTTATTTAATACACATATAATCAACTATTTTTAATCGTTTTTCTATAATTTACCTGCAGGTCCATGTCAAAATATTTCCCTGGTGGACATTTTAGGAGAACTTTGACACCGTCGCTACAATTGTAATATTTGTCACAATCTGTGTGAGGTAGTTTTAATATAACATTAAAATCTGTAGGACATTCGTTTGGCGGCAATGGCGGACTAGTTGTTGGCCCCGGAGTTGTTGATGTTGTTGGCGCCTGAGTTGTTGACGTTTGAGTTGTTGTTGGAGGCCTTAAAGTTGTTGTTGGAGCATCAGAATTGCAGTTAACATTACGCGGCCAATCGCACCCCTATCAAAGTATTAGGACTGAAATTATTTGACACATTTTATTTATATTCTGTCAAAAAATATCTAACATACCTGTGTAGGTTCGTTGAAGAGCAAACCTCCGGGACATGGCATTAAAATTTTACGTCCATTGCTGCATGAATAGTACATGTTGCAATCCGTTTCGTGTCTCAAGAGGCGATGGACGCTGAAATCCGATGGGCAGCCATTTGGCAATGTATCCGCCCAGACATAGCCAAAGAGAAGTAGAAAAAATAATATCGTCATATCTGTAAATAAAGTATTTTCTATTTTTGTATATAATTTTTAAAGTTTAATTTACGTAAACAATGAAAAAACCTTTTACATTGATATGACAGAGAAATTACGGACCAAACAAAAGGAATGGCCAATAATACTGATATATATACAAATCACAGTATCACTACAAAGATATCAAGTCGTAAACCAATCATCTGTCTTCCTTTTTATATAGACATATAATTAATATATTTTATATATGTAGGTATATATTTACAAGAAAACAAATTGAGTATCAAAAGCCTAAGAATCAAGAAATTAACATTATTTGTAATAATATGATCTTAAATATAAAAATAATTTAGTCTTGAGTAAAATATATTTTGTAATGAATATTAATATAAAAGTGCGTCCACTCACAACTAGATGGCGCTTGTACACAGTACGATAGTACATTGTCAAGAATAATTAGTTTTTGGGGGTTCCGGAAAAAATGCCTTCAAGTATCTCACTAATGAATAAATGAATAAAATTAATTAAGGAAGTCTAGTTCAAAGCTCTGATATGTAACTACATACATATGTGAGAAAAACTAGGTTGTATATTCTTTCATCTTTTCAGCATAAAAATCCTTTCACAACCTTAATGTGATTTCAGTAACAAAAGTACTTACGAACTTCCACATTGGTATTTTAAAAACTGTTTAGTAATTTTAATGATTTATTTTATTACCATGTTATTTAAGACGGAACCCTAATATGATATTAGTTAAATTCTATTCGGCAAAAGATGGCGCTGACTGTCAAAATACGTTTTCCATAGACATCAAAACTACCACAGATAACACCATTAAAACAATTTTCCTGTAGTAACTTTATTTATAATCAGTAAGATATATCATTAAAAATTCTAATTATTCGCCACTGATTTTACGCACATAACAGTTATAGCTGTATACAAATAATATGATATTAAATATAAAAATAATTTAGTCTTGAGTAAAATATTTGTAAAGTGCTTCTACTCACAACTAGATGGCGCTAGCACATATATTCAATAGTAATTTGTTTGTGTGGGTTCCTGAAAGAATGCCTTCCAGTATCTCACTAATGAACTCTACTAACTACAAGAAACTCCTTGATGAAATAAATTGCAAATATTTTCGCATATTTTCAGTTATAATAGGGAATAACATTTCATTCAACAACTTTTTATTAATTAGAAAGTAAACGAAACCTCGGGAGTATGCAGTTTTTTTAGTATAATATAATGCGCGTAGTAATCCAAAAATATTATTTTCTTTTTAATGAATACTCGCAAAGATTATCTCAGATATCATGAAGTGATTATAAATGATGAAAGTTCAATAGCCTTTTTTAGCAATCAAAATTATTTTGAACACGTACATCTTGATCGTAAGCATTTGTTTTTAAACCCACGTAAAAGCTAAGAGTGAGATTTTCACTTCGAGAGGTCTTTTTTTTAGTATGTTTATCATCACTTAAAATGTAGCAAAACTATTAAATTTTTATGCCATAGTAAGTACTATAAGTACTATAATCATCATCATCAGCCTATCAGAGCTCACTGCTGAGCAAAGACCTCTTCTCACATGGAGAAGGTTAAAGCATTAATCACCACGCTTGCTCAAGAAGGGTTTGTGATTTCTACCTTATAATTGTGAAATTACAAGTCCAGGTTTCCTAACGATGTTTTCCTTCATCAGCCAGTAATGTCTAAATACTCTTAGAAAGTACATATGACTCGGAACAATCACATTGGTGCCAGGTTTCGAACGTTCCCTCATGCACGAGACGCGGGCCTTAACCTTACGGCCGCTACGATTTTTATATATAATATAAGTATTATAAATCCAAAATTAAATGTAATATTAAAATACTTAAAATCCGTGAAAACAATGACGCAGAGTAACGTCATCTCATACAAGAAATTCCAAATATATTTTTATGATTATAATCTTGCGTTACTCAAACGATAACCATCGCAAAAATATTATGAGAAAATAAAAAAGAAATGCTTAATAATACTTATATGTAATTTATACTTCTTTTTCCATCGCATGAATCAGTCCTAAATCGCGTAACCGATTTTAGAAATAAAATGTATAAATTTTACATTTTATTTTAACTTATATTAAGCACTTTTATTTTTATAATTCAATGTTAAATTATAAATATAACTAGTTTATTTTATTTAAATTGGTTTTATATTGAAGTTAACTCAGGTATTAGACTTGGATGCTTATTTTTTACAATTTATTTTGGAGTCTTTTAAAAATATTTATAAATTTACGAAAGAAAAAGAACCTCTCTATAATTTCTTTTATCTGTTGTAATACAGTGTAAGAGTGAATATGTTCTGTTAATATACAATAGAAAGATGCAATTTAGGAAAATATTTAAGAAAAAACTACATGCTCCCGTGGTTTCGATTAGCTTGGCAGCGACAGTGATAACTTTTAAATATAAAAAACGAGCAGTACTTCCTCATAATACATATAAGTGTTATTTAAATGAATACTCGAAAAAGTCTTAGATATTATAAGGAAAATGCTTAATAAGAATACTAATGTGAAAAAGGGATCTTTATTTTTTTTTATATTAAAATGATTTTATAACTTAGTTTCTTCTTATGTTTCATAATTAATATTCTTGTAGTTATTTATTAAAGCTGTTTGGAACGCTAAAATCTCAAATTAATCGTACGATACCGATATTAGATGTATAAAAATATATATTTTATAAATAAATGTAGTTTTGACAAGTAAAACAGCCGTATTAACGAAGAAATAAATTTACAATTATTAACTAACACTTCGAGTTACAGAAATACATTTGCTACTACTTTTTATATATACGTTTCCATAATAATATATATTACTTTACTGAACTGGATTGTGTATGAATACCATTCCACCAATTAGAAGGTGTACATGAAATCGTAGGAGGAAAACACTATCACACGTCTTCAGTAACAAAACTATTCATTCTTTTCTTGAAGACCCCCCAATTATAGGTCAAAGGAAACACAGATGCAGGTAAACTATTAAAATCCTTTGCTGTGTGCATGACGAAGGAGGAAGCTTAACGCTTCATTAAAATCTGAGAAAGGTGTGAATAAAAGGATGGAGATTCATCTTGCGTCTGTTTGTCCGATCGTAGAAAGGGGTAGAAGAATTAAGACATAGTTTTACTCGTGCACAATCTCCAGAGTGTATCCTATAGCAGACAGAGAGACTGAATAATTTTCACCTATGCTCTATTCTGATGAGATTAGATTTAACCAAGTTGTGGTTATTAAGCTTTTTTGCACGTCTCGCCTCTAAGTACAAGCCAGTGATGTGACATATATCGCTTGCCCAGATATTACAATACTATACACACGACAAAACCTGTACTTTGTAACAAAGAAACAAAGGAGAAAAGAAGCTCTGGCATGCACTGAAACTGAGTTTCCTTACAGCTGACTTAACTTCGAATTTATAAACCAAAAGTTAAAGTTCAAGCATACCTCGATACATAATATCAGAAGACGGTGAGAGTATTCCAAGGATATATTCCGAGAATTTGTATTCAACGTGAATGGTCTCCTCTTGGTGGTGAAAAAAATATCACAACAACAAAATGTGTCTTTTTTAAAGACTACCTGATATTTAAAAGTATAGCAACCTTGGCACATTAGAAACAATATATGTATGTATGAATTTCAACAGATGAATGGCTATAATTACAAATATTTACTTTAAATGTAAAGGAAACTATTTATATGAAAAGTATTATGAAATAGATGAAGTTCAATATAGGAGTGACCGAGCAATGCCTTTAACACGTTTTAAAGTCAAATAGAATTGAATAAAAAGTATCTGTTTCTATGAAAAACATTTAAGAGTAGGGTATAGTTAGAAAAAAAATTAGTTTGTTCTGGCACTGGCAAAATATCTCATATATAAGAGCATATTTGAAACAACCAACCAAAAACTATGAGAGGATCACACCATTTCCCAAAAAATCAATACTAATATTATAAAAGTGAAAGTAACTCTGTCTGTCTGTCGTTACGCTTTCACGCCTAAACCACTGAACTGATTTTAATGAAATTTGGTACAAAGGTAGAGTCGACCTTGAGAAAGAACATAGGATAGTTTTTATTCCAGACTTTTGATAGGTTTTCTTGGAAACGCGATATAACCGAACTCCACGCGGACAAAGCTGCGGGCGGAAAGATAGTATTATATGTATAAGGCAATATTTATAGCCACGTCGATAAAATTTAGTACCGTCAGCCCGATAACCAAGTCCAATGGTAAAAATTAAATAAAATTTATTCTAGGTATTCATTTTAGGAGTTATATAATCTTTACTTACTAATGTCCTACAAGTAGAAAGTGTTGAAGCTTCAATAAATCTTCAATTACAATATTTAAGTAACCATTGTATAGTTAAAGTACTATTCTTATATTTACCATCACATCTATTAATAAGTATATGAAGCAAATAAATGATTGTATTAAAAATTTCCATACAATCCCTATTGTTGTTTAATTTGAGGTAAATTCATTAACCATCCGTATAAAATTCACACTTGTTCAATACTCTCTATTTTTTCTTCAAAAGCTTTATAGGATTATAGGATTTGATGTTAAAGCTTCAAAAGCTTTAACATCAAATCCTATACTAATTTATTTCTATATATGGCCAAAAATGTAATAGTGCATGTGATTATTTATTAAATATATACTAATAAACAACTGATGCATTGCAATCATCTAAAAATGGCCACATTGAATAGACTGTTAAATTTCATAATAAAGGATTCTCCAGCAATATTACATAATACTATTCAGTATTTACTGGAAACGCTATAATAATTTTGGAAGATAACAATTTAATACATCACGTCTCTAAATTGCCTAAAACAAAACTTTTAATGTATGTACTTTTTAGGACATTAAACTTTGGGAGTACCTATGTTGTTTAAAATAAAAAAAGAGGTATTAATAGAATAGT